CACCCACACTCACATCTTTTTGATTTCTCGTGATTTCTCATGATTTCTTTGATTACTTATGATTTCTACTTGATTTTCAGTATGGAAATCAGTTTGTTCCCCCTTGATTATTACAGTTGGCGAAAGTTCGCTGGACTTGTACCAAATCGCGCCCGTGAACTTTCGCGAATTGGCGGATATCCATTGTAGTTTCGCTAACAAACCCCCTCATACTTTTCTCAATGGTGAATGTCTTATTGGCGAAGAGACAGTAAGCCTGATTTTTATAAATGAATTTGAAAGAAATTTTTTAGAATAAAAATAATAAAATATCATTTATGAATAATCGTATACATGAATTACAGCAGAATTATACAGAAATACAACAACGGATTGAAAAAATTCGGATTGAAATTTCAAATTATCAACAAATATCAACAGAACATTTAACTGAAGTTGGTGCAATTAAAATGTAAAGAGAATAGATAAGTTTTTATATTCATCGTTATGTTTATATTTTAGAGCAATTGAATCTATGTTTGATTTAGTAAAACGATATAGTCATCGTAGTAGAAAAAAAGATCTAAATCTTGATGAATGTTCGTTGAATAAATTGAAACATGTAAATCAATTATTTGAAGCGAATTATTTATTTTAAATATAAAAATATAAATTTAGATTGATATGTTTCTTAGTGATTTAATCTATTATGTCGATTATATGAATAATAAACAGAGTAAAATTCTACAACAAGAATATTCAAATAATATGAAACTTGAACAACGAAATGTTTCACACCAGATTACAGATAGTATTGATGATAATAATCGATGGCGTGGTCCATGTCAAATAGATCGAAGAGAAACATTGATAAAAACAATTGATAAACATGAACAACAAACATATTTTTCATACAAAGTAAATAGATCGTTACGTACAAAAAGTTATATCTTTAGGTTACGGTGTGAGGGTAGAACTATGGTATTCACTCTTTACTAGTATTCATATCTGCTCGAAGCTACACTCTGTGCATGACGAAAGTGAATCAGAAATCAGCTGGAAGTAAAATTCTAAACTGTTTAGTAGGATCAATAGAAAAGCTAGAGTTTAATATATCTAAATCGTTTGTTTGCCATATTCAAATTTTTCTCAAGATTCGAGGTGAAGATGATATGTTATATACAATTCAAATCAATAATATTCATAAATCAGATACTTGTCATGCACATAAAAGCTCATCATCAATATCGATGATATCAAACAATAAAGAGAAAAAGAGTAGTTCATTTAAAATACAAAAAAGTCTTGATACCCAACCAAGATCATCAACATCTCGAAGTACACATACAACATTAAAATTATTTCATCAACAATCTAATCACGAAAAAATGCCTTTTCCACTTCAGAATTGATGAATGATAAATAATTATGTTTTTTAAAATATTAAATTGATCGTGGTCTTTTATTCATAATGAAATACACAAAAATAAAGAAATTAACATATACATATACAAATTTATATGACAAAAATAGAACATTCAAATCGTTTTTTTCTTTTATTTGAATAAAAATTTTAATTTAATTACATATCGCATTCGAACTTGTTTTGTATCATACACAATATATTCATTATAATTAAGTGTATAACCTTTTGGATTATTTACATCCGTTGATTCACTAGGACCCATAGGTATAACAACATCATTATCTCTATTTCAGCAAAAAAATTACATCTATTTTTTTAAATGAAAGTATTATTTAACTTACAATGTAACTGCATTTTTCATATTAGGTGCTATTGAACCAAGACCTTTAACACTTGAGAAACCGTCTGGTAAACGATGTGCATTATTATCAGCATTAAGTAATTCATTACATTTACCAAGAGCAACCTAATTTAAAGATTATTCATTCAAAAATAATAAATAGATTGACTTACTTCAGAAAGAAGAACAAGACCTGTATTTTTACTCGGTGTTGGGTAACAATAATTCGCACTTTTACTACTCATATCAGCGAAATATAAACCTTTTCCAAACATATAACCAGTCTAAATTATTTTATAAAAAAAGATTAAAATCAAGATTTACAAATTCGAAAATGATTTCCACTTACAACAGGTGCTTCTGGTGGCGCAATACGTAATCCTTGACTCATAATACCAGCGAAATTAGTCAAACGAGATCCATGCCTATTCGATTAGAAATAGAAAATATATTATTGTCTTTATAAAAGTTTTTCTATACCAAAGAAGCATTTTGTTTCCGACATCATTAAATACTTCATTTTCATTTTCTCTTTCAATTTCAAATATATCTTCAATTTGCATTTTATATTGTTCATGTGTTGATGCATGTGTTGTTTGAAGATATTTACTAATTATTGTATAAATATCTTTTGTTTTATCTATAGGATTTAATTTGCATTTTAATTGTTCATAATGTTGATCAATTGGATTTAAACGAGTATTAGTTTCAATATTTAATGTTGTGAATGCAATTTCAATATCATCAAGTGCTTCAAGTAATTCAATTTCTGATTTTAATTGTTGAATAGTTTTTATGAGGGGTGGAGTATTTCGACCAAATTCATGTGGAACTAAATAATAATAAAAGAAAGAATTTATTGATTAAGAAAATTGTATAACAAACTTCGTGTATAATAAATATTATTAGCTTCAATAAAAGCAGAATTAAATTTATTTGTTTTAATAAATGCTTCAATTTCTTTTAATGATGAATAACCAGCTTTGATTTGTGTTGCACTTAATTTACCTAAGAAAAAAAACCAAAGGAATTAATAAGAAAATAAGAAATTATTTTTGTATTAACCAAGTGGATTTTTTCGTGCATCGAATTTCATTTCAAGTAATGCTTCTTCCATTGCTCGTACATTACATACTAATTGAATAAGATTTTGTATACGTTGATCAAGTTTAGATTCAGGTACCGGAAGACCTTTTAATTGTTCAATTGTAGCAAGTTGAGTTTTATTATTTTCATCCAATTTATTCGATGGATTATAATCAAGTTGAACATAATCATATTTGCCTGGATATTTTGTAAATGCATCACGATAATAGAAATCATTTTTTGTTTTATCACTAAATCTAATAAATATACGGATGGATTTAATTACGTTTTTAAAACAATGTAAATAGAATTTTCGACTTCAGTGACGTTCAAAGTAAAAATAAATAGTATCAATATGAGATCATGTATAAAAGAAAGGGTACAACCATCTTGAGGATGGGTGTAGGTGAGGATGTGGGTGTGGGTGTGGGTGTGGGTGTGGGTGTGGGTGTGACTATGGATGGGTAAGGGTAAGGGTATGGGTGTGGGTGGATAAGAGATGGACACTCACATCCCAGGTACATTCAGACACACACCCACATCCGCACGCTAGAGTTTGGAAACCAAACGAGCCCTTTCAACCTAAGCCACGTCTTTCTGGATCACGAAATTTCTGTATGAGAATATTTTAACGAGCTAAATAATTAATATTCATACTTTTTACAAAAAAATCGTTTTGCATCGTCTAAATCACAACCAAAATGTTCTAAACTATTTTGTCCATTATATCCAACTCGTCCCCTATTATAGAAAAGAACAAAAACAAAAGTTCAGTATGAAATTATTCAAAACTAAAAATTTACCAACGTAACCAAACATAATATTTTTTAGAATTATTTTCTTCGAGTAATTGAATTAAATAAAATTTATTATTATTATTTCCAACATCTGTCTATAATGAAATAAATAAATATGTATATTTATTTATTGAAAATAATTATTTGAACTTTTTTACTTGATTAAGCATACAATCGAATACATCCTTATCTTCACAATAAACATGAGCTTTTCCTGACATTGATGCACATTCAGAATCAACAGGAACTTTTCCAACAACTGTTGTTATAGTACGCACTGCATTAAAAAATAGACAAAGATTATCTTTTAATCTTCAAGATAAATATAACTTACTAGCACTTTTTTCGATTGGAGCAGGTTTTGACTTACTAGCACTTTTTTCTTTTGGAGCAGGTTTTGGCTTGCTAGTACTTTCTTCTATTGAAGCAGTTTTTGGCTTGCTAGTACTTTCTTCTGTTGGAGCAGTTTTTGACTTGCTGGCACTTTTTTCGACTGAAGCAGTTTTTGACTTACTAACACTTTCTTCTATTGGAGTAGATTTTGGCTTACTAGCACTTTTTTCTGTTGGAGCAGATTTTGATACAATAGGCTTTTTCTTAGTATTTTCTAATTGATCATCAAAATTCAATGAACGTTTATTTGAACTTGTTGAAACAGCTAATGGTATTTTTGCCACTAGACAAAAAAAAGAAGTTAAAAATAAATTAATTTAAATAAAATATGCAACAGACTCGATTTAACACGACGAATTTTTCGAACAGCTTTTGTTTCTAAATTCGTTTCAGTTAATTCCTCAAGATCGACTTCATATGATTGATTTCGATTATTTATTAACAGTGTTGTCTGATGGTTTTCAATAGCATGAGCTATTTTAATCGTTATTTCAGCATTATAAATTAACCATTTCTTACTCTCATTTTCATATTCATATACAGATAAACTATTTTTATCTGCGAATTCAATACAAAGACGTAAACGACGCATAAATTTCGTCTTCTGATTTATTTGTATCATATCAGTAAATTTTATTGTCATGCATATTTCTTCAGTTTGATTAATCATAACCTTAAAAAGAAACATTGGATATAATTCTAGATAAATATTATTTACTTCTTTGTTGCCAGCATTAAACGCTTGAGAAATTTGTTGTTGAACATCTAGTGGAAATTGTTGCCAAACACCTTTATCTCCTTCCCACTCCCATTGAATATTAAGATTTGAGAGAGTTGTAGGATTACGACCGGTTGCCATTGAATTGAAAATTTTAAATTGTTAAATGATCTAATAAATTTATTGGTCAATGAAAATAAATTCGTTGTAATTCTTTATCTATTCACAATGTTAGATTAATAATGGTCAATTACATAAACCGCCAAAATATAAACAGATACGATATGAATGATTTTCCTTTCTCGATAAAGTTTTAAATATAATTCAGATTTATTGTCTTCAATTGGATAGAAAATAATATGGATAATAAAGATTTATATTTAAATTAAACATATATGAGCGACATCTTTTTAACGGTAATGAAAATATTTAGAAATTTTGATAAAAATCTATACTTTTCAATGAATATTGATTAATTATTTCATATTTAATTTAACATTTTATATAAGGTTTCATAGTGTTTAAGATACCTCTAGCAATCAGACATTCGAAATGGATATGTTTGAGAATAATCATATTACAAGATTGAAGGAATTGAAATAATCGAGAATTAGAACATTCATAGAAATTACAACGCAATTCTCTATTCAGATAGTCTTCTAAACAATATGTACAATATTTTTCATTGATTGATCATGTAAAAAAAGCAATAAGTGATATAATTTGTAATTTAATACTCTAGAATTCTAAGCGATTATTCATTGTATAAATAAACATTCTTGTTTTTGCAAATATTTGTACCATTAAAAATAATTATATCTGTATATTGATACTAATGCATAATTTTAGATATTTTAAATATGTCGAATAGTAATTATGATCAATCTATTGAACCTCTTAACTCTTCACGAAAAACTTTTCGAAGTCATAGTGCAGTAAGCAACAAAAAGTAAAAGAATCAATTATATCGACTTTGTATTTATTTTAAGATTCAAGCTCATCGTGGTGATGTTCCAAGTAAACATGATGAATATCTAATTCAATTGCAAGAACGAAATCGTTTACTTAAAACATATCAAACTCAACGACAACCAAAAGATAATAGTGCTAAAAAACGTGAAACTGGTTTTCAGTTATATTTAAATGGAGCTCATAGTGCACCACAACGACGACCAGTATCTATTACAAGTAAAACAATGATAATCATTCATATTCGAAGTATTTTTTTTGTGTTTATTTTCCTAGATAATGCAACAAATCGATTTGTAACTCCTTCACCTTCGTTTTCTAATTTTTCATTTCCAACACCATCAAATACAACACAACAGAAACATTCATTACTACCAAACGGTCGTCGTCAATGGACATCATCAACAAAAACAAAAATTAAAACAGCTGACGGTTCTATTATTGCTGATATTGATCAAAATTCTATTCCTGATAGTAATCCGCAATTACCACCACATTCCAAATCTTTATTCAATAATAGACAATTTCAACAAGTAACATCTAAACGTGCAGTTAAATCAGCTGGAACCCCTAGTGAAGCATTGCCAAAATCTGCATGGGGTAATCAAGTGATTGAAATAGATGCTAGTCAGATAATAGCTAATGGAACAAATGATCAGGTATCATTTGGTAAGATGGCACCAGATAATATCGATCAAAGTTGGATGCCAAATTGGTTTAATAAAACAAAAATAACTGAAAATATTCAAGGTAAATTTTCAAAAAATAAATTTTTATGAAAAATTCAATTATTAATATTTTTCTATAAGAATATGAATCTGATTTCGAAGAATCTTCTTCTGATAATGATAATGATGATAATGATAACCATCAAATATTAAGTCGTGTTTGTAAGTTATTAGATAGATTATTATAATATAAAATTTTTTACTTTCTTATAGCTTTATCTCTTGATGATATACCATCTATAGTTAAACTCGTAAGTTATAAATAATAACAAAAGAAAGATTATTGATTATTTTATTTTTTAGTCAATATCGCATGAGCAAAATAATGACGAAGAAAAGACAATTCAACAAGAGAATTCTTATCTATCGTCACCGGTAGGTAGGTAAGTTATTTCAAGAGAGGAAAGATCATTTTTCTTTTCTCTTTTCCTTCACTCTAACGACAGCTATGTAGTTAAGAGAAAGGCAACTTGACAACACCTTTAAAAAAAAAGTAAAGAGAAGAAAAGAAAAAAAAAGAAAGAGTCGTATATTTTGAGAGTAATAAATGGTGAATACTGGTGCACATAATGTCTTCTTATTAATTGTCAGTTGAGGCAATTTTTATACAAGTGCCTTTTTTATCATATGTGTTTTAAATAAAAATGAATCGTCGTGATATACCGAAAAATCCTGTTGCAAGTCATTATAATCTACCACATGCAGGAGGAAATCGACCGGGTAAATAAAGATAGTTGCTGTATTTTTTTAAAGAAAATATTCTATTACTATTGACATATACCTGTGTAAATGACACATATGTATTCAATAATCTATTACTTCGATATAAATTGACCTCTGTTATTCCAGTTTCTGAAAATTTCTTTTATTAAGTATGTTATACAACATACGAAAAATCACTGTAATGTTTATTAGCCTTTTCTTGCCCTTCAGCTGTATTTCTTGTTTAACTAAAATATTCTAAAAATAAAACAATGTTTTTAAAAAAAAAGCATTTTTTTTTCTTGTTATAACAGATGTCTTTTGTAAGGGTTATTCAAGCAAAGAGAAGTGTTTTACACGTAATTGTTTTGTTACAATATTGAAATTTTTATTATTAAATAGAAGTACGAACTACCGGAGGCGGTCTGATCAAGAACAATAGTAATTATTCAAATAATCAACAATTATTTTTCGTTGGAACAAATGAAAAAGCAAGAGTAGTCGATAGTCTTAATCTGGAAAATTTTTTACAACCAAAGTAATTTTTTTAATATATTTAATATTTCAATTAATAAATCAAATATTTTATCTAGAGAAGTTCATATTGATTCCGAATTTGAAGATGAAATATTATCCAAACATCAACAATCATCAAATAGACAAGATCCATTACGAGATAATTGTTCCAATGGTAAAGAAATTTCATTTATTACATATATATATCTTATATTTTTTTACTAAAAATAGATTCTAACACATCGCAAAATGACTGGCTTGAAAATTCAATGACACAAATTGACCTATTTAGTCGACGTCATCGTGGAATGCTTGAAAGTATTTAACAGACGAAAAAAAACAAAGCTTGATTATACTAATAAATAAAATTTTATTGTTTACTAGATGAACGAATCGAAGAATATTTTACAAATAGTCATTCAAAACATGAAAATGAAACGGATGAAGAACAGTATGTTAATAGTATTGATATTAGTTTATAACAAATAAATTTTACTCTAGTTTTACAATACCTGAATTACCTAGTGGTGAACAGTTAGTTTTAAATTTAAAAACAACATGGGGTGATCGTCATTATATTGGCTTGAATGGTATTGAAATATTTTCTAGTGAAGGTTATCCAGTTATGATTCGAAAAGTATGAAATCATAATTCTTTTAATACTAATAAAATTTATGATTTATAGATCACAGCAGATCCAGCAGATATAAATATTTTACCTGAATATGGTAATGATCCACGTGTTGTAACAAATCTAATTGATGGAGTGAATAAAACCCGAGATGATGTTCATATGTGGCTCGCACCATTTACAGCTGGACGAAATCATTTCATTTATATTACATTTGAACATCCAGTTGAAATAGCTATGATTAGAATATGGGTAAGAAATAGAGCACTTAAAATGAATGCCAAAAAAGATCACTCTCACAGATGCTATTCGAGGAATATAACCCTCAACTTATAGCAATGAGATTTGTCGAATGTAAAATTATCATTTTTAATTAGTTAGACAGTTAACTCGTTAATACTCTTGATACGATTAAAAAGGCATTCAGTAAATTATGTATCGTGATAGTCAGAACTACTCATTAATGTGTCTTATTGTTTTAGTACATAAATCTATTTAATTACTAAAAAAATTTAAATTATTCATTATTTACATTTAAGAATTACAATAAAAATCGTATTCATTCCGCTCGTGGTGCTAAATATATTGAAATTTCTCTTGACGGTCATATGGTATTCAAAGGAGAAATAAGTCAAGCTTGTGGTAATATAAATGCTACTAATGATCCATCAGCTTATGGAGAAGTTTGTATTTTATTGAAACTTATTATTTCAAAAAGAATTTAATATTTTTATTCCATATAGACTATTTTATTTACTACAGACGACGAAATTCTCGAGAAAATCTCTACTTATGATGAAATGTATGTTGATCAAGAAGCAAGTCAAGATGATGAAGATAATTCTCGATTAAACAGCAATCGACCACCCACCTGTGGAACTGATGTATGAATAATAATCATAATAATTGTTTTGTATAGAAGATTGTTTTCTAAATAGATTCGTCCAATGACACGTGCTATGTTACGACGACCTTTTACAGCTCTTCGCTCATCCGATGCAAATCAAGTACCAGAATATTATGGAAATAGTATATTAGTTTTTGTTTAATTTAAACTATTACAAAATTATTATTTTATTAGAATTGATTTTAACTATAACAGATACATGGGGTGATCGTAATTATTGTGGTTTAACTGGTATTGAAGTTGTTGATATAAATGATGTTGAGTGTGCAATACAATCCTATGATGCTCGTCCTCGAGATATAACTATTCTACCATCAAATGCTAATGATGTTCGAACACTTGATAAGTAATAAAAGAAAAACATTTTAAATTTTTTTCTTTTCAAAACAATTTTTAGATTATTTGACGATGAAAATGTAACATGCAAAGATACGCATATGTGGTTATGTCCATATAATACGAAAGAAAAAGTACGTATTATAATAACGCTAAGTGGACCAAAACGATTACATGGTTTACGTATATGGAATTATAATAAATCTCCAGATGACACATATCGAGGAGTAAGTTTGTCTTTTTTCAATGTTTTGAAATCATGAAAATTTTCATGTTTATTTGTGAAACAGGTTAAAAGACTTCATGTACAATTAAATGATAAAATTGTTTCACCGAAACAAGGTTTTCTATTACGCCGAGCACCAGGACATTGTTTCTTTGATTATGCACAAGAAATTGTTTTTGCTCATGCGAAAACAATGCTTGAAAATCAACAACAACATATTCAAAACAAGTACTAAATTTAATTTTTTAAGCGAATAATAAATTTTTATTATTTTAGACAAATATCGAATACTAATCGTGATACAGATTCAGATATATCAATGCCAAATGGATGTAAGTTATTAAAATAGATACTCTTACAAATGATTTATGAAAGACCAGCGTATTCTGTTTGTCTTCTTTTGATATTAGATAGCAGAGTTCTAAGCTTATTCCTTAGAGGACCATTCACTTGACAATACCATTGACCTTTTTCTCTTCACAATGAATCAAAAAGATTGATGATTTTCTGACTGCAATTATTGACGATATCTTTTCATCTAGATTCTGCTGAAATATAAAGTACAATGCAAACTACCCTCATGAAATTTTCTCAGCGTGTCTATATGATTATTTATTTTCCATTTGGAATGGTAGAGAGATTTTTGTTATTTAATTTAAAAGTGAAGTCTGCATGCGATGACATTATAATGAACTATTCATAAAACACGACTAGAGTTTGAAAACTGAAACTTCAAAAGAAAAATATCAATCAAATGATAACTAATAATAAAGTCCTTCATTAAACTAAATCTATGTCTTGTCTTCAATCGGAATGACGATTGAGGTGAGATATTATCTGTTATTCATGTTTAAAAAAATGTTAGTGTACCGTAAAACGTTACTTTGTCTCGACAGTTATATCTGGAATTTAATATATAGAAAAGGTTTTTCTAATTACTATTAGAAAATTAACTAGATGAAATTTATTAGAAAGCATACGTACATTTACGTTCTTAACTGATTTCAATTCCTTATAGAAATCAACAAAGTTTTGAATATTTAGACTAGCTAACGAATTGATACTATTCTTATCTCTTATAAAATCCCACTAGATTAGACTTATTCAAGGCATAACAATTCTTTAAAATTTCTATTGTTAATTATAAAATTACCTAGTTGAATAAACGATTTATTTATAGTTATCTATGAATTTCAACTTCATTCAACACATGGTGATGCTTATTATATTGGTTTGAATGGTTTAGAATTTTATGATGAACACGGCGAATGTATTGGTTTAACTGAACAAAGTATACGAATCTTACTATATAAATATAGGATAAAGGACTAAGACTTTCTATTTATCAATAGATATTGCTGCTTATCCACATAGTGTAAATGCTCTTAATCCAGGTGTAGATGATGATATTCGTACACCAGATAAATTAATCGATGGTGAAAATGATGAAGTTGATGGTACACATTGTTGGATTTCACCTATTTTACCTAATGTTGTATGTATATTTAATATAAAAAAAGTTCTATTTGAAAAAGAACAATAATTTTTTTATTTTAAGATAAATCGAATATTTGTTATTTTTGATCGACCAACATCTGTATCTATGATTAAGATATGGAATTATGCAAAAACATCTAATCGTGGTGTTAGAGAATTTTCTGTATGTATTAATATCAATAGAAATAAAGAGTAAAAAATTTATTTTAATAGTTACTTGTTGATGATTTACTTGTTTGGACGGGTATATTGGATAAAATGAATGTAAATGATCATGAAAAATATAGAACAAAAGTACCTTTTAATACAATTTTATTTTCAAATGAAAGAATTCTTACTGAACATGAAAAAAATACAGTTTTGGAGTAAGAAGATATATAGAATTTTATTCTATTGAAATATTTATTAATCCATTATGTTTTTTTATTTAGAAATAAAAATGCTTCAGATAATATTACTAATCCAGCAATAAATCGAGATCAATCCGTTGATTATTGTAAGTACTACTAAAAAAATTTCTAAATCATTATACTATCAGATTGTCTTGCGCAGCACTGGTTTAATAAATAGCAACCGACACGTATCTATTAGGAGTTGATATGTGCCAAAATCGAGTTTTAGTCCTTGCCATCGCTCTCTTGAAAACTCTAGATTTTACCACGAGAGAGAAGAACGTATTTTATAGTTTATTGATATTTGAATTCGAAACTATTTTAATGATTTTTCTTTTTAGCAAAACGGCCGACAACATCAGTTCCACGAAATAATCGAAAACGCTAAATTATTAAAACATGCATAATTCATGTCGTCCGTCAGATTATGTCATATTTGTTTTTTTCTTTTTGTCATTTGCTTTTTTTTGAAAAAAGAAAAAAAACACAAAAAAAAGAATCTAAATACTGTTTTCATCATAATGATTACATACATATAACAAAAAAACAAAGTGTCTTACGAACAAAAGTTCACGGGGAGAAAAATCTGACTTGAAAAATTGTAATAAAATAAATTTATTTATTCGATGCCGTACCGATTGATGAAAGATTGGAAGATGATGTTGGCATCATAAAACCACGTGGTCGAACTAAATAAGTTGTCATATTACCTTTGCCTTTAACATAAATTGGCCCACGACATTCACATGGATAACCATTTTCAAATAAAACTCGTTGAGTTTCTTCCGGAACCTTAAAAAATATTTTTTCGCTTTAACAAATACACAATCAATCAATAAACTTACATGTATACAACTAACCACACCTGTACTATCCATACGTGATGCAACATTTACTGTATTTCCCCATATATCATATTGAGGCTTTTTGGCGCCAACAATACCTAGAAAAAAATATCAAATAATATAGATATAAAGATAAATCATCGATATCATAGCATGCTAGACCAGTAGCGGATTTAGAAGGGGCGATCGCCCCCCCCCCCCTTTCAGAATTATTTTTGATTATTTACAGCAAAAATGAACTCAAAAAATAGGTTTTAGACAAAATCGCCTTCTCCCCAGGTACTGCCCCTGCCTACTTAGGTACCACCCTCCCCCCTCCCTTCCAAAATCCTAGATCCGCTGCTGTGCTGGACTCGCACCATACTCTTAATTCTACCAGTACAAGTTAAAATCCTTTTTTTTTTAAATTCTTTCATGATTATTGTAATTTACCTGCAACAAGAGGTCCATTACACATGCCCACACGTAATTTAAAATCATTAAAACAATCTCGATTGATTCCTTCAAGTACTGCAATCATTGCAAAAGCAAATTCAGCAAGTGCAACAACATTTTGATTATATCGTTCTCTTGTCTAATGAGAAAAAATATAATTATATCGAAAAAAACAATATGATTTGTTTCATTACCATACGATGTTCAGCACCTGGATTAAGACCAGCTGCTGCCATATATGTATGACCAATTGTTTTAATTTTTTCTACACAACTAAATTTATTCTTATCTAATAACTAAATAAAAGGAAAAGAAGTAAAAATTGTTTATTTCTAATACAAAACTAACTTTATCAAATTCAGCAATAATTTCATTGAGTAATCTTAAACATTCTAATCCATCATTATTAGCATCTGATTGAACATAAAATTCTTTAAAATTAGGTATTGATGCAAACATAACAACAACATTATCATAACTTTCATGATAAAGACCCTGAAAAAATAAATAATTATATTTAGATATTTTCTCGATAATCTCAATGGATTAACACGTCTATTTGTATTTATAAAATTTAATTATCAAGTAAATCAAATTAAATATATATATGTTTTTACCTGACTCATATTTTCTTTCATAATAATTTCTGCAACATGTTTTGGTAGAATATTTTCTAATAATAATCGACTAATAGTGCTCACTGTTTCAGCTTCATGTTTTTCATTTTGAAATTTAATTGTCCATAATAAATCTAATCGACTCATATATTCAATCTGAATAAAAAACATAATCATAGAAATCAAATATTCATATTAAAAATATGAAATTTTTACCCGTCGATCAAGTGCAAATAGTAAAAGTATAAAAAAAATACTTTGTAAAATTGTTTCTATAAGTAATAGATTACTTCGTAAACCATAATTATCAGCAATAATACTATATACTTCAGTATAACTGGAATAAAACACATATGTAACTACGATTATAATCATAATTAATGCTTTTAGAAGAAAATAAAGATGCATAAATGAAGAAATCGTTAATAAAGCAAGTTGAATAAGTAATATATGAAATTCGAAATGAGGACATAATTCAAATAATATGGAATTCGTTGATGATGTTATAAGAATTGTCTAAAGAACGAAAATAAAAATATGAATAGGAGTCTTTATACTGACGAAATAAAATAGGCTATATGAATTATTTTGTATCAAACAGAACAAAAGTATCAACAGATGAAATTCTATTTTAGGTATTCCAGTTAATTAGTATTTTACAGAAGCCATCTATATATGACAATGAGTACATGGTTAGTTTGATAGATCAAACCAAGATGATAAACATATCTTATAATGCTATCTATTATGAAAACAACATCTATATGGGCTTAAATATAAGGCCTCTATTCCAAAAATAGACTAGATTTTTCTTTGTAATTACATTATAATCGAAGATAGAATTTTCTTCATTAAAATGAATCTTACCTGATTAATATTATTTTGTACAAATGAAATATTGGCTCCCGATAATAATAAATCATTGCCTAATCCTGTTCCATTATCAAATGGTTCATTGAAACTAACTGATGGTGACCATGTAACAGAAAATGGTGTTAAAATACAAATAATAATTAAGATAAGACTAACAGGTAAACGAATAAAATAATAATGTGTAACTAAATAAGTTGATTGTTCAAGTAATGAACGATGATTGTCACGTTGTAACTAAATTATAATTATTTTAATTTAAAAGAATTTTATTTCGAAAAATAAATTCATTTACTTTTGAAAGATCAATAATACAAAGTGAAGCTGCTATACTAAAGGCACATATGCCAGTTATAACGAGAACAAGATAAAGAGCATTTCTATAATGAACAAAAATTTATTGTAGAACAAAAACAAAATTTCTTTTACCTTTCAAATATTAATGCTTGAATAACTAATATTACAAAGAAAACACACGCTGCATTTAAAATATAATATCGATAACGTAATTCTGGTAATGAACGAAATAAACTTTCACTAGCTCGACGATTTCCTTCGTCATCTTCTAAATTTTTATTTGTATTATCTGTTTGTGTATTAAATTCAAGTGTAAATGGTTCGAGATCATTTGAACTATGTCGACTACGGCTAAAATTAGTAGATCGTGTTTTTTTCTTCTCTTTGTTTACAAAAATATTTATTAAGAACTTACGAACAAAAAAATGATGTTGCTAATGGTTTTAAATTATCTTCAAGAAGAACAAAACTTTTTGCTGCATCTGATTTATCATTATCAACAAGATGTTGAAGAGCAAACGGAGTTTCATTTGACCATGTATCTAATAATTTTTGCATTTTTTTACTAGATTTACGACCATCACCACCACTAAGAAATACAGAAGAAAATAAATATTTTTTTTCTAAATAATTTTACTTCATCATTAATTGATTTTGATGATTTGGTGTTTCACATGGAATTATAAACCAAGTTTTTATACCTAATTTTGCTATATAATCATCACGTTCATGTCCATTACCTACTTCAACTTGAAATTCACTACCCAAATTAAGTCTTGTACTTTCAGAAATATGAACACGACTAGTAGAAAAAATAAAAAATTATAAATATGATATCAGCTTTATTGATTATAGTGATCTATTCGTAGAATGTAAGAATCAAATTTATCATTTTAAACTATTTATATGTATGATCGTCTGAATATAATCTGTCATTTATGTATGTTAGTGATATGAATAATATCAAAGATGGTAATCATCATATGTAAATAATACTGTTGATTACTTAATCATTAAAATGTTTTGAAGGCTAAAAGACAGCTGATCTATATTCAATGGAAGATAAAGAAGAACGGGAATTTCTCTTTGTATAAGAAACAAAGAGAAAAGCTTTGAACCACGATGAAAGATTTAATGAACTAGCTTTTGTAGAAAAACTACTTAAATAGATTATGGACAACAAGTATAGCGGAAATTCTCCCCAAGAGAATTGTTTGAAAGTGTAAACCAGTAGAACGATAATCTTTCATATCATAAAAACATTCTTTCCTCATAGCTCTTTCATGGACAAACAAAATACATAAATACTCCGGGCCTTTTGCATATATTTCTGTTTTAAATCACTTTTCAATAAAACAATTTCGACAGAAAAAAAGGATTTTCTGTTAGACTTCGATGATATATTCTTATTTAAAGATGAAATTGTATCCTCCCTGATAATTTTCAGTCAAATACTCACCCGGGTATACCACCTGCTTCAATATGATTAGCTAATGTTACATCATCGGACCAAGTATCATATTGCCATTTTTTAAGACCTAATACTCCACATAAAACTCGTCCTGTATGAATACCAATACGCATATCAACATTAACACCGGTTGCTTCTCGTACTAATCTAAATTATTGGAAAAAAGAAAATTCTTCTATTAATTCTAATCAATAAAAATATCATACTTTATATCTTCAATCATTTTTAAACCCATTCGTACACAATTAGATGCATGGTTTGGTCGACTTATCGGTAAACCACTAACACAATAATAACAATCACCTAGAATTTTTATTCTCATACAATCACATTCCTAAAAAAAATTAATTTTCATTAATTTTTCTTTTTAAATAAAACAAAATACTTGTGCTAATTGATCAAATTTTCCAAAAAGTTTATTAAGTATTTGTACAAGTTCTGGAGGAGTAAACTTTTCTGATAATGGTGTAAAATTAACAATATCAGCATAGAGGATTCTAATAAAATTAATATTTACAAGATAAATATTTATTAAGAAAAAATATTAATCAAAAAACATACGTCACATTTTCATGTTTTTTTATATATAAATCATGAAATGCTGCTTTGCGTGTATTAATTTTTTTTGCATTTGAACATTGATCATCATAATCACGAGATTGAACATTATGATATTTAGCCGTATCTTTTACTTTACGTAACATTTCTGATTTCATACTTAAAGCTAAGAAAATAAAAAGTAAAAAAAGATATGTAAATTATATATTTTTGCTTATACCAATATGTGCTGGAATAACACTAAGAATTAACGTTTCTTGTTGTTCCTTTTCACATTCAAGTCTGATTCGAGCTTCAATACAACGCATCGTATTATGATATGTTTTCTTTTGATGTGCATCCGTTAAATAACGATAACATAAGCCGAATAAATTACATGCAATAAAAAATAATGAAAGACACACAACCTAAAAAGAAGATTTAAACACATGTAGTTCGTCTGTGTTTATTTAAAAGATAGATCTCTTTACTAAATCATTTCTTATCTTTCGATGACATCGTTTTCATGTCATCGGAAAAAATAGTATATATTTGATAATATCCTATAAATAGCTATGCTTATTTTACATAACAAAAAGATGATGTTTATCTACTTAGAATCTGAATAAGACTTCATTTAATGTTCTTCTATCCTCGAGATAATTACCACATTATTAAGATGAGTAAATTCATTATCAATTATTATAGCTTCCTATTTACTTTTTTTATACGATGAAAATTTTAGAGAAAAATAAAATGAAGTCTACCTCTAATTTAAGTTCTATTTGATGTGATTTATTATTTGGATCTGTAATAGTATGTGTACGAATAACAAGTATTAAATGAATAAAAGATGTTGTTATAGCCATTAAAACTGTCCATGAACGTGATACGGGTAATGTTGTATGTATAGTTATTATTGAAAATGTTACAATACCCATTAAACGTATAATTGACATATATTTTTGTAAAATAATAGGTATTATTGCAAAAAATGTTAATAAAATCCATATTAATAAACATGATATATGTACATATGAATGAAAAAATTTCTCACGATGAATTAATAAAAGAAATATTATTGATAGCAGAAAAATAATAGAAAATAGAATGATTTCAAGAATAAATTGTGTTGAATAATGCTAAGAAAATAAAAATAATAGTATTATACAGAATAAGATTAACAAGAATTATTTTTTATTTACTTTTTCAGAAAATATAGCTAATAATAAATAAACAAGACTTTGAAAAGCAGTGAGTGTTAAGGAAAACAGAACTAAACCATGTTTAATACGAATTAAATAAAGACCAAAATAATGTTTATTATCCATAACAGCTAAAAACAAATAGTTAAAAACACAAAAAAAAATAATAATCAATTTAAATTCCTAATCTATTCAAGTGCATTACCTTTCATATTTTATCTCAAAATGACAGATTATTAAAAGAATGAAAAATTTCTTTTTTTTCTCTTCCTACAGACTGTCTATCTCATATAATTCTCGGAATAAAAATAGTCAGTTTGAAAAAATGTATATCTAATATAATAAAAAACAAAGAAAAAGAAAACCATATTTTATTTGTCAAATGGACAACTTTGTAATAGGATTTGTGTACCTTTATGAGAAACAATAGCAGATGTATTTGTTTTTTTTTCGTCTAATAAATATATATATAACCTTGTATTTTATGTGACTCAACAGATACATTAAAATCTTGTCAATCCTTGAAATATTCTAAATAATATATCAAAACTAGATGAATTAAATATACTTGCTTATTCTTTATTAGATATTATGAAAGAAAAAGAAAACAATAGATCTATGTGTAATACAAAAGACATAATCAAGACAAGTTTTTGTAGAAATTTTTTTTTTCATGTATTTGCTTGCTTTTGTATATGTCATCACTAGGAAACACATATATACGAACTATCTCAATCGGCACTTCCGTAGCTAATCGATGCCGATACAAGCTCATCTCCGTTTGTTTCTCGCTGTCTCTTGATCTATCGTTGGAATGAAGTGGATGAACCACTTACACTATCATCAAACATACGAACAATTCTTAAAAAAAAAAACAGTGAGCATTGAAAATAGCCTCAAGCATTCATTGGAACTTTATCATTACAAGGAAAAAAGTAGTCGAATACAAGACAAGCAGCTGCCCTTTTTTCTTTTTATAGACCTACATTTTTTATTTATAATGATATTGCTTGCTCAAGTTATCAAATGTTCTTCGGAGAGATCATGATGAGCGTGACTTATTAAATAAGTTATATATGTCTATGTTATTTCTTATTACTCATAATTAATGTAAAAATGATAATTTTCAAGTAACTACTATACTTTTTTCATGCTTTCTCCTGTAATATATGACAGAAACCAATGATAATCAAAAAGAAATGTCTTGGAATTAATGAATGTTTCTTGTTTTATTATTAAAAAAAAGAAGATTACTATGATAATGTACATCAAGCCTGAACAACATGCCCTTATTTCACAAAATGTCAGTCATTTCATTACTTCAGTACTACTGCTTTGTTGTCTCTCTTTTTTTGATTCTCTCGAGACATATGTAAACGACACTAAAGAGTGATACGAACTAAGAAATCAACGAACATAGTTATACAAAAACAATTGTATGAAACTTGTTCTTTTGATTAAACATAAAAATGATAACAATCATTTTTGTCGTAAAATAGATTTATATTAATGACAAAAATAAAAATACATCAGTACGTCAATATGTAGAAAAGAGCAAGAAAACTAATAGAAAGAAAACAATAGTTCATTTCTTTGATAATTCAATCAAACAATTGAATTAACACAGTTATTTAAATAAAAAAGAATAATTTGTCACTTTTATATCTAATCGTAGTAGTAGTGGTAGTAGTAGGGGTGTATATTAATGAAGAAAAAATAATAATAATAATAGAAAACATACCTGTAGTTACATCTGGAGATGACCAATCGAATGTAAGTCGTACATTACTTTTAGTATTACCATATGTGTGATCAATGGTAAAATCATGGGTCGATTCTAAGTAACAAAAATAAACATAAGAAGATTGATGTACAAACAGAACGGTTAAACTATTTCTACATACACAAGAGACTTTCATATAGAAGTGAAAATATGACATGTATACTGACAAATAAGATTGTAGCATAAATGGTGGCAATATATGCTGAGAATATAACAAGCTGTTCTTTCCCTCTCTCTCTCTCTGTTTTCCCTAATGATATCGATTGTTTTATGATTATTTTTGTTTTTTTTTACATTATTCAACATATAACATACTGAGGTGTCTTATCCATCCTCATATTGTATGTTTGTCTATATGTCAGTATTGAGTCTCTTGTTATATACGATATGATGGGTGACAGTTGATGACAGTATATGATCGATTCGCTAGACAATATAACATCCATCTTGTTTGAATAGCAGGCAAAGCATACGAGTATGATATACATACATATACTATCATTTTTCTCGTTTGGTTAATCGATAAACAATAGTTGACATTTTATCATTAAGGCGAAAATAACTTCTTCTCGAGTTAAATAAGTTATTGTCTTTTTGTTTTTGATTTTTATACTCGAAGAAACCCATGTAGTAACTAGAGAAACAGATCTCATTATATCTATTCTATGAAACAAAGAATAATAATAACAAATGTATAGATATGTTGTATCTTTTCAATTGTTCTTTTAGATTACATCATATTTATGTATACAAATATAAAATAAACCAAAAGGTCACTTTGTGCTTCAGTTAGAAGTGCAATTACAAAATAAATGTGCATCTATATTATGAGAATACAGATATCTTAACAAAAGAATGATATTAATAAACAAAACAATATAGGATATAAGGAATACATAATTGGCCTTCTCTTCTCTTTGATATAAAAGTTTTTTTGTATATTCACTTACTTCGTTTGTTGTTGCTCGGTATCTGATTCATAAAAGAATCACGATCTTTATGTTGCTGATCAGTTACTTGAAACGATGATAATGATGTTGATTGTTGCCGATGTTGTTGAAGTCGTTTAAATACAGACGTTTCATTCTGTTGTATATGATGATCTTTTATCATGTTCTCAAGATAATATTTAAAGATAATCACATAAAAGTTGCGAAAATTTTTTCTTCTTTCTTTTATTTGAAAGTGTATGTCTTTGGGGGAAAAGGAAGTAAGTGCAAGTCGAGCGTAATCGACACTAATGAGTGTTGGCGTTTGCTTTTACTTGTAGATGATAGTTTGATGTTTCAATGAATAAAATAAATCAGTAACAAGAACATATATTTCATGTAAATTCTTTTGTTGATTGAACAATAATAATATCATACTTATGGCATTAAAAGAAAAAAATTGAAAACGATATATGACAATAACACTCTTATGTTAATGTGAAGAGTCTACTAAAATGGTTAAACAGAGCCGCTTTTAATGAACGAATTGAAGATGACTAGAAAAAAAAAGATTCACTATTTTTCTTTTGCTTTTTTTTTCTTTGTCTAACACAAAAGAAGCGATAAAATTACTTCTTGTTTTTTCTTCTTTCTTCGTCTACTTCTCAGTCTTCTTTTACTATGCTGTCTTCGTTAGTAGACTAGATCATCAATGAACGAATCGAAATGACTAGTAAGAATAGCAAAACGATATATGAAAAAGAAGAACAAGATAGTAATGAGGAAGGCGGAAAGAAGATAAAAAACAAAACCTATGTTAGTTACTTTCTTATTTTTAGACACCAATAATATACTCATTTCTATCCGACATAACACTTTAGTTTTTATGGCCTATAGATGTTCACGAGAAGCAATTTTTTTGTTCTTATTATTGTCATTTGTATCATTCACAATTGTAACAACAATGACAATAGCGTGATAGTAGGAAACATTTATATCTATATTTACAAATGCGTGTATACATGTTTTTTATTAAATATTCTAATAACAATCAGCATTAACAGAAGAACACAAAAGAAAAGATATACAAATAATACTCGGAATGATAAAAAAATAAAAGAAAAAATTTAAATCATAAGAACTTTCTGGTCTGACTGTTCAGATGTCCTTTTTATGTCTGTTTCTTCCAGTTCATCTCCATCATCTGTTCCTGATCCCTTTATTTCACCATCATAATAATGATATTTGTCATCACTATCATCATCATCATCTAAGGTCGATTTAATGCCATATTCACCAATATGGCATGTTGCTAATATAGTTGTGCCAATCCAGACAACGGCTATAATGATAAGAGCAATAAAACCTAAATATTCATATATTGCTGAACCAAGCCAATCTCCAGTTGCTGCTCCAAAATTAACACATGAGACAAATAATGCAAATAGAGTACCTTCGATATTTTTTGGGCAAGATTTCGCTGCTAAATGTAATAGTGCTAGGTTTGTTATTTCAGAACAAAAACCTGTAAAAATAGCAACACATATTGACGTAATTTTATCTGTTGCAAATAAATAGGATGCAATTGCAAACATTCGCATAACAATTGCAATACGAAGTACACGTTTTGTTGGATGATGAGAAAATATTGTTAAATAAAGTAAAGCAGATAAAATGCCACATCCATTATAGAGTGTATTTAATATGGAAACATAAAATGGATTAAATTTGAGTACATCTCGTTGATAATAAAATAAAGCTGTTTTTACTTGTGGCGATGCAGAATAAATAAAAAGAAAACTCGTAATAATCCAAAATCGTTTATATTTAAATATTCCAGCTAAACTTGACCATGTTTGAGCAAAATTATTTTTATTTAATTTTCGTCGACGTTCACGTACGGATATTAATGTTGCAAGAAATAATATAACAGGACAGGCAGAAGCAATTAAAAAAATATATTTATTTGAATTACTATTATCATTAAAATTTGTTGATGTATCATTATTCGATGTTTGATTATTTTGATATGATACGGAATAAGTAGCAAGAATACCAGCTGGAATTTGTGAAACAGTTGAAGCAAGTTTAGCTGATGTTTGCTGAATACCTTGTAATGTACCAATTAATGCCAATGGCCGACCAATTGTAATCATCAATGCATCAACTAAATATAAGATGTTTTTGTTTCTGTTCGAAAACCATTTTTTATAGAAAGAGAGTCAGGCAAAAGGAAGTTGGTTTTTAGAGAAAGATGTCCTTGAAAATTATTTGGAAACTTTTAAGATTGCTGTTTTTGTCAAGTTTTTATTAAATATTTTCTGTTATTCTCAGTATATCCAATCTAGAATTGATTAAAGAATTTTAGAATCTAATAATCAATGAGAATATCACGAAATTGCATGTTGCTAGAGTAACTTCAAATACAAGAATGAATTAAAAACAAAAGAATAGTTTTTGACATGAAATCGATATTATCGTAAAGACACCAATCTATAAATATTCTAGTAGTTTAGAAAAACAGAAACTAACGTTCTATTAACGAAATATTTAAGTACAATATCTCCGAATATGTTGGATAATAATCGTACGATTTAGTTATAAAAATATATAGAGCAGAAATGTCAAGAAAACATGAGGGACATGTTTATTAGTAAAAATAAATGCATTTGGACATGTATTTATTGATCGAGCGCCGTTTTCATATCTTGATCTTAGTTTTTGACAAAACTTATTGGCTTTAGCTCAAAAATAAGCATGACGTTATTTATTTTTTTAAAAACAAATTTGAAGTACAGGTGAAGTACGTGCAAAGTGCGGATAAAACATAATTAAGTAGCGTTTTCTTAGTGGAACATAAAAATATTCAATATCTAAGAAGATTCAATCACAGATAATAGACAATAAATGTCCGAAATATTATTTGTAACTGTGAAATAGTAGCAGTGTAGTCATAATTCTATAAGAGCATTAATATAGAACTTTACATAATTAATAAAAATTTTTTAAAATCTTGACTATTTTAATCTACCACACTTTTTTGATAAAAAATATTCATACATAATGTTTAATAACTTTTTTTCTCATATGTTACCTAGTATATAATAATCATTCAAGTCCTGGAATAGATGATTACAACTTCCATCTAATTAATGTCATAGAGCAACCAATTCATATTAACCGACTCATTCGACTGAATAATTGAAAAGAAGGTTTGAACATGTTATGACAGTTGAATATACTGAATAAGAAATGAGTATGTCATGGAAATTTTGATGATATCAATGACTGTGTAGTTAATTTTGTTTTTTTGAAGTTTCTGTTATATGCAGCATATTCAAAACTATTTTACAAATAAGTATATAAATTCATTGTCATTAATCTATAGCATATAGTCTTCGATGAAGAAATACTTTCTCTATTGATACTAACACATATGACATAAAAATATATTGCATATATATATTTTGATTAGTCAATCCTTTGATTGAGTCAATATTACGACAGCACGGATATTACATACGTACAACCTGTCACGGTTAATTTGAAATCAATTATCTTTCTTTTTTAATTTTTCTTTCTAAATCTGCGAGCGTCTGTCTTTTACAAAGAATAAAGGATATTCTTAAAAGTGAATATATATATAGAATAAAGAAAGAAAAGGTCGTTCAGTGGAAAATTTTGTTTTCTGCTTTATATCAACGAATGAAAAGATCATTACAAATTTCAATTAAGTTATTACTTTTATTTCTCCTATATCAGATATAAAATTATTTATATATTGATTCCAATTATTACTTTACAACTAGAGAGCCGTACTATGCGCGTCTATCAAAAATATGTATCTCATCACGTAATAGATAATCTATCGTGGAAAACATAGGACGTAAAAGAGCAATGAGTGTATTTTATGTATGTATCAAACCCATAGGCTTTATATATATTTAATATAACATAATCACCATTATTATTGTCTGATAAATTCCCGAAAAACAGGAACTAAATATATGAAAAAAAGCAGTTTCTACGATTCTTTCTAATTATATTAACTCATTAAGAAAAAATTCGATTACAGTCAGATAATTACTAGCTTTTTATTTTTCACTATCAAAATGGTTTTATTTTCATAGACCATTTATTTTACATGTCAAAGCAAAAAAAATAATAAATGCTTTTTTTTCTTACTTAGAACATCATTGAATGCAAGTGAAAATGCTGCTAAAATGCAGAAAATTATTAAATAATTATACTCAGTCGGTACAAAATACAGAGCGATCCAAGCAAATAAATTAATCATTGTAGTCATAAGAAGATATATAAGACGATGATAACCACATATTGGTACAAAATCACTGAGAAGACCATAGAGAGGTTTGATTGACCAGCTAGAGATAAGTATAAATAGAAAAACATGATAAAATTCTTTTTTTTCTTATTGATTAATTATATACATACGTTACTGTACATGAAAAGAAAAAAGTACCCATCTGAGATGGTGAAAGTTGAAGTTTATCTTTTAATATAGTTTGTAAAGGTAAATTAACAAATCCAGATGCAATATCGGTTATTCCTTGAATAAAATAAGCAAGTGCAAAATAAATAGCACTGCATAATAGCGTACGAGTGGTTAAAATTTGCATACATTTATTAGATCCATGATCTTTGTTTTTGTTGTTGTTGCTATCAGTTAATTTAAGTGGTTCATCGAGTGATGTTGATGGTGTTAACGACATTTTGATTAATTAAATTGTTTTTCTTTATATTTTTATAAAATCTAAAGCTATCAAAAAAAAATAATGATAATAAAGTAAAGAAAAAAAAAAGCTATAAATCCTAAATATAACTTGCTGACTTTATTTTCATGGAAGAGAAAAAAATAAAATTTTCTGCTTCGTTTTATTATTTTTTTTTATTGCGATTTACTCTTTTTTTTCTTCTTTTCATTTAATCAAATAGCAGCAATGGGCGCGACGAAGAAAAAGGAACCTTGATGAAGATGCGACGTGTGGTTACACAGAGTGGATAACATTCTTTTTTTCTTCCTGCTTTTTCTCGTTTTTTTGATGAATCACATTAAAGCTACATTAGAACGAACTATTATATACCGTTATCCTCTCTTTTAGTATTTCATGCTAGTCATTGTTGACAACAAAGAGAACAGAGTAGAATAAAAACTATATATATTTACTTAAAATTATTTTCAACAAGGTAATACATACTTACGTTGACTTTTATAATAAATCATGTTTATTCTCGCAATAATATGTTACTATTGTCCATTATATACTTCCGTTTTGTGAAAATTTATGAGATATATTTTATTTAAAAATAACTTATTTACCTATTAAAATAAATGGGCAAATGACTAGGAAACGGTTTGTAAAAAACTAAACTAATTATAGAATATTAACTAGAAGAATTTCACATACATTGTAATACTCAATTAAAGTATAGGATTGCGAAAGATTTTCTTACTATATAATAAGTATCATGTTTTTACATGTCCAAAAATTAAGAAGAATATTGTATCTTTCTAATGACAAGAGATAAACTAAAAGTGCACTCGAATAAGTGGTAATGTGAGAAAAAAAAAGTGTACTTATAACAGAATAGAAGAAAAGAAAATCAAGTAAACAAACAAGTGAATACAATTTTGACTATGATAATTTATATGCCGTCAGTTACCCTCGTAGCTACTACTAACACAAGTTTTACATTAAAATATATAAAATTTCTTTTTATTGTAAGATACCATTATGGAATGTTATACTTGTATATTATCTAGATACCTATCGTTCTTATCTAAGAGAATCTTTTGACCGTATGTAGACGCTTGTTTTGCGTAGTCTAGATTCCAAGAATAGCACAGATCCCTAGTATTTTTGACATTATTATCTAAGAATATTTTCTTTTATACGCAGAAAAATATATTATTTACGGCATATCATTCCTTTTTACACATCATACAAGTTATAATATGATATGTAATTATTTTATAAGAATTCTCGATTTGAATTCTTTTTTAACAGAAGAAATTAAAACTACTCTACAAACATACATTTTATGACCTTGAAAACTATAATATATATACAGTAAACATCGCCTACTATCTATCTATATATATATATATATATGTTGCACTGTGAGTGTTAAGAAGAAAAGAAAAATAATGTTTACACTGTTTGAATTTTTTCTATAGAAAAAAATATTCTACTTTGTAGGAACCCTACAAAAAAAAGGTCATGACGTTTTTAATCTAATTTTATAAGAATCTTGTTTTTTTTGAATTATTTATATAAGAGATTTTTATTCAAACAAAAAAGACACACACACATAAAAAAAAGTATTATTTTTATTATTCTTCTTCTTCGTCGTCAAATATACGTTCATCCTGTGTTGTTCGTTGTGTTCGTCGTCGTAAGCGTGGTCCTCTTCGTCTTGCTATTATAAATGATTCTTGTGGTATATATGCTGATGTTGATGGTGATGGTAATGATAATGCTGGTGATAGAAGTTGATGAGGATATTGTTTTGTTGATCTATTTGAATCAAGAATTTGTGTAAGACAACTTATATAATGAATAGCAAGACGAAGTGTAGCAATTTTTGATAAACGTTGATGATCATGTAAATTAGCTTTTGGTACTACACGACGTAATTCATCAAATGCTTCATTCAATGCATGCATTCGATTTCGTTCACGTACAGTTGGTGGTGGTGCTAATGGTGGTGGTATTGATGAAATTATTGATGATGAATGTGTATTTGGTGTAGTTGATTGTATAAAAGACCATGTGTCAGTATTTTTATCCATCTTATATGTTTGATTTTTAAGAAAATAAGACTAATCATAGTAGTGGAAGAAAAATTTTTTTTTCTTCTCGGAAGTCTGTTTGATTGGATATCTAATTGATAGATAAAAATCATGTCGATAAGCAGATATAGAAAAGATATATTTAATGTATAAGAATTATCGATTCATAATTGTGTATGATAAGTGAAGAGAAAAAAAAAGAATTGAAGAAAGAATAATGTTTATTTTAGAATAATCAGAATCAATGATCTAGTCAATCAAGCGACACAAATATATTTGATTGTATAAAAGAAAAAGTAATGCTTCTCTTTTCGTTTCACTTAAATGAATGAATTGACTAAAATAAGACTGGAGTGTCATTCTTGTCAATATATATATATATGATTAGTGGAAACATTTTCTAATGAGAATAAATATCGCATATTGTTATTCTATTGAATCACAGGGTACAATAGATAGAAAAACAAAACTTTGTTCTATCATGTTCTTTTGAACTGTTTGATATATAATTTAGGAAGTTACACGTTTGTATGGAGATGCGAGTTTAATATAGAGCTATATAGAAGAAATAATAAAAATCTGGATTCTTTATTTGATCACGCATATATAAAATATTGACTAGTGATGTGAGAAAAATGATTTCTGAATCTAGGAAAAAGAAATAGAAATCGACAGTTTCCTATGGTATGAACACTAGTCGTAATCTTCATTTCCTTAATTGTTGAAAAAGAGAACTTGATTTTCTTTACAGATGAGAAGATAATATTAAGTTCTTATCATTGATGTCATATAATTAAATCCTGTTCTAGACTTGTAATTCAACATTTTTATATTTATGATAGAGTATTATTATTAGTTTCGATTATAATATAACAATTTCATACATAGTTACTATGTATTTTACTTTATCAAAGAAATAGTGAATAATTTGTCTCTATATTGTTTTCTATTATTGATATAGTTCATACGTATTTTTTTTTAAAGAATATTTATTAATTTATTTAAACAAACTATCAAACGTACATATAACTATATCCTTAGTTTCATCATTATCGATGTACTACAGCATTAAGTAAAGGTGCATCAATAACAAGTACTCCATCATCCATAACTTGTGATGTAACATTATATTTATCGATTCCATCTGGTAAACGAATACTTTGACTAAATTGTTTATTTTCATGTTTTTTCATTCCTATGAATGGTTTTTTTCTTCCTTGTACTAATAAATTATTATCAAGTAAACGTACAGTTAATTCATCTGGTTCATATCCACGTGTATCAACTTTTAATATTAATTTCTTTCCATTAGGTGTAAATGTTGGACGAAATTGTGATTGTAAAAATTCTGCCATATTAAATGTTGGAGGAATTTTAGAATTTTGTCGATATTCAATATCACCAAGACTACTTGTTCGTTTTGGAACTGTCGCTGGTGGTGGTCTTGTTGGTTGATAAGTTGAATTTGTAACATCAGCATGTGAAGCTGAACGATTATAATCATTTTTCGATACTTTTGATGATTGATCAATTGCTTTTAATAATTCTTCATGTGAACGTCTTATAGCATCATTATCTCTGAGCATAGGTATATCAATTATTAATGTACCTGTATTTCGGATAACAGAACGTATTCTATCAGCATCAGCACCAACTGGTAAAGGAAATGTTTTAACTAGTTCTTTACGAAAAAAATTGTCAGCAGCAAATTGATCAAGATGTAAAGCATGCACAAGTAATGTATTATCACGTCGAAGTTTAACAGCTATTTCACCACGAGCAAATTCAGATACATCCACTTCAATACGAGTCATTTCACCTGATGTTGCAGATAAATTTTGCATAATTGTTTACGATTAAAATATTTTCTGAAACTAAAAAGAATGAGTGTTATTTATTTATTATTGAACATATACAGAATTTTCCATCAAATACATTTCAATTTATAAGATTTCATTTATCACATAATGTAGATGAACATCTTGTGAAGATTCGTATTATTCGACTGAAGTCATAGTCATTCTACTGAATTTTTTGTAATAGTAAATATTATGATTTTTATTATATTCGAAAAGTTTTGTTTTAGATGATTGTTTCTCTTCCGAGATGGTACATGCGTAGAAAACCACTATACATTCCCACAAAATGTCAACTATCGCGATTTAAAAAGAATCTGCTAGGTTAAAAATTTCTTTATTTCGAGTTTCCTCGATGGTTTATCAAGTAAAACTACAAACTGTATTAGAGAATATGATATAACTAGATTCTTTCATTAGCTCTACATTGATTATAGACCAGAACTTCGACAACACATTTGCTTATCAAAGTAGTTAACTGAAATTTTCCTCTATAATTAAAATGTAGATCATATGTGTCAAAGTAAAATACCGAAGAGATGAACAGGACGAGTACGATTCATCAAATAAATATATTCAAGAACAACTACTTAGAATTTTTTTCAAGATTTAATCTAAAATGATTTCTATTACACATCAAAACTGTGAATAAGACGAAACGTAACTTATGCAAATATATTCCCAATTATGATGAATCTGACATATAAGTTGTTTTGATTATATCTCTATAGAGAAATAATAAACCTCGATTTGAGATGATGCATGACATAGAAGGAATTTTTTATTTTGATGATAAGAGTAAAAGAATTCATCGATTGCATGATTGACAATAAAGTCATGAAAGGATTATTTAGCATATTTATATTATGCGTAGAAGTAAAATCTGCTGAGAATTTTTTTCACAAATATTTTCTATATATAGATGTTTTTCTTTTTGTCGTCTTATTAAATTTATAAAAAATAATATGGATATATGTTACTCACACTGACAGAAAAAAAACAAAGCAATAAAAAGATAAAGTTTCAGAATATTTAAATTGACATGAAACTCTTAAAAACAGATTTTTTTTTGTAAAAAAAAGAAATTATTAGATTTTCTATAGCTTCCGGCAATTTCCGGAGAAAATCGAAGAAAAAAAAAATGGGACGGAAACTCAATAATAATATTCTTTAAGAAATTGAGAGAACATAAAAAAAAATTCTCAAGCATTAAATGATATAATATGAACACAATCGGAATCAATCAAGAAATAGACAAAAATCATTTTCAGATTTTAGAATTAAATCAAGTGTACACCTGAATTATTAAGAATGTTCTCGATACTTATCATATATGAAACCTGTTGAGATAATATACTAACCATTAAACTTCCTTTTCTTGACATTTACTTCTTTGTCAAGGAATAAAAAAAAAAGAAGAAGAGAACTAACACTAAAGGACTTTCAAATATTAATCATAAATGAATAAGCCTATGATAGTTAAACTTCAAGTGTCAAATGTCATGTATAAACAAAATTGATTTGTTTTACATGCAATAGTTTTCCCTCATAGAATAATCTCATATATCCTAGTGGAATGATTTGCGTGACTTTCTCGATAAGTGCTAGATGATTATTAATATTAGTCGACAATCTCTTCTTTGATACCGGATTTAATTCTACTTAGTTATTTTCTCTCTCTCTCGTTTTCTATCATCATGATAGCAATCTAACTCGATTATTGTTTTTATTTCTGTATATAAATATACTAACATATTCCAGGCATCTAATACTTATTTCGAATAGCAGGAGTACGTCATGATCAGTGTACTTTTCTTATCAATAATATAAATATAAATGAATTCAAGGTTTTTCTCTTTTTTTTTTTCTTGAATAGTAATAAAAGATCTTACAATTAGATGAAAAAAAATATTAATGAAGAAAAAAATCTTGTTTTTATAGTTACAATAATAATAATAAAATACATTAAGAGAGAAAGAAAAATAATAAGTGATCAAACGTCGACATGTATAGTTATATGTCATAAAGAAAAAAAAAGGGGGAATATTAAATTCAGTTATATGTCATGGAGAAAAAGAAAATATGCAATTTTTGTTCTTCATTGCCAATTTTGAAATAGGACGAAAAAAAAGAGCGTGAGAGAATATTTTTAGGACGACTAATTTTTATTGATATACAGTTATTTTCTCTTTTTTTTTGAAGATAAGATCGATTAGTTCTATTTTATTTATTGTTTCATCTTCTTTTCTCATACTACTTCTATTAACAATATGATGATAATCATTTCCTTTTAGTTACTGTCTGTTGAGATGTAAAGTATCGTAAGAATACAATGGTTCATTAACATACTTTGATGCGTGAAAGAGATAATCGCTGATGACACAGTAGTTTGTCCAAAAGATTAATTTTCTTTTGTATTCTTCAAATATTATTAAAATAAAATTAGCTGGTAAGTTGCCTTTCTCGCGTTGCGTTCGTCGATAAACCACTAATGAGTACTTTCTTCGTCTAACTGTCTACCGACATACGACAAAGTAACATGTTTCATTGAAAGAACGTGCATGTACGTGTGTATGTGTATATGCGAGTGTGGCTTTTCTCTTTCTGGTAAAGAGAATAAAAGAGGAGAAAAAAAACGGAGATGACTGTGACATTATTGCCGACTGACAAAAAACCGGTAATGATGAGCTGCAAAAAAGAAAATGCAGGAGAAAAAAAAGAGAAGAAAAAAAATGATGACTTTACTGAATCGAGAAGAAAGTATTCATAAAGCGATTCTCGTTTTTTCATTGTCCTAAAGTACGAGTTATATTAAACATTTTTCTTTTCAACATTTTCTTTGCCATATATACATTTAACTGTATATATATATGCATGTGTACTTTGGTCACTATTTGATTGTCACCGAACGGGAGCATTCAATTATTTTTTTTAAACTAAGATACACATTCATTTATATTTCAAGAAGTATGTGCACACACATCTCGAGCTTCTTATATCGATCTATATATATATATATATATATGCAAGTTTTGCTAGAATGTATAATCAAAGTCAATATTTAGCTTATCAGAAAAAAGAAAATGAAGAAGAAATGCTTATCATTAATGGTACTTATGCATTTGTTGTTAATAAAATAAAAAAAAGAAAGAAAGAAAGGTCTCTGAATAGATAGAGATGATAAAAGAACTAATACTGATCAACTCATGTGGATTTTATTTAGATGATGAATAATACAAAGAAAAGAAAGATGCTCGAGTTTTTTTTTCTTCTTCTTCTTTACAATAGTTGGCTTTTCTTATGTTATTGAAGATGTCAATAAGTAGAATAAAGATAATCATTTAATTTCATCAAATAACTTTAATCTTATTTTCTTTTTCTTAAAATAAGAAAAATATATAGATATAAATTCTTATTCTGATACTTTTCATAGCTGAACTTTTCAAGGTAAAACTTAACGGAAATCACTCATTATCTATATAGCGTGAGTTATGTAAGTGAAAGATAATGATTTCATGTGACATGAAAGATCTTAAATATATCTTTCCCTCTCTCTCTCTCTCGCTATATATATATATAGCGATACACAGTTCACTAGGCAATTACGTTTTATTTCATTGATAATCAAGAAAAATAAGAAGCTTCGAAAGTACTCGTGAAATAAAAATAGAATGTAATCATAAACTAACAAATTTGATATGTCTGATGTTACAAATGAAGGATTTAATTTAAACCAATAGGTCAAAATCAAATATTTCTAGAAGAATTCATCCAGCTTTGAAATGTTTTATATCAGACATAATGATAAAACATATAATGTCACCATATGTTTTCAAGGTTTAATTTTCAATAAAACAATATGATGTTAAATATATACTTACGAGTTTATCTATAGCAAGGATAGATATAACATTTATTAATATGTTTGAGTAAAGATTTGATCGATAATCAAAACACAAGAATCTCTATTTGATGTATAAAATACTAAACTAATTTTCTAAAATCAATTCACATGACATAAACAACTTATCCAACTAACAAAAAAAGGAGAATACGAAAAGTGACGGATGTTTTTTCTAGTTTTCATTACCATATTTCATGCTGGGCATCCCGGCCTGTCAAACGCTACACACACACTGTCATTTTTTCTGAAAGAAATATGTCAAACTAATCACTACACAGTCATGATGTTTTCAAACAAACAGTTTTTCTTTACATCTATTGCAATTTACCATTATGATACTTTTCTATCTTGATTTATTGTTTGCCATAAGTATAGTTCTTTGATTTATTTAATCAATTTATAAGAAAAAAAAAGTACATTATTTTCCTAATTATCAGTAACATACATAGAATTAATACAAATAAATAAACATATATATCTGAATGATAAAACATATTTATCAAAATTTACTCGATGATTTACTTCGTAGACGCAAATCTAATGGTTGATCATAATCAATTGTACTTGATTCGTCGATTAATTTTTCTGTAGGCTAAAGAAAATAAAATTGAATACAAATATTTCGTAAAATATGTTTTTATACCGATTGATTATTCTCTACAGTTGTTGAAGTAATAACTGTAGTTGTTATAGTAGTAGATGGTGTTCGTTTTCTAATTGCTTTTCCTAAAAGCATTTTTTTGAATTGATAAATATAGAAAGTGTTTTTTTTATTCTACCTCGTTTACGCGTTACAACTGGTGAAAACGATGTTCGTTTTCGTGGACATAATAACTAAAAGAAAAGATTTCTATTATGAAAAAAAAAACAAATATGTATTTACGGATAGATTTTTTGATAAATCATCTTTATGAATTCCATTTTCAGCTAATTTTCTTTGTATTTGATCAGATGTAATTTTTGATGATTGTTCATGACGTTTCAACATATGTCTTAATTGTACTTAAAACAAAAAGAATTAAATTAAATAATTACGGACTTTCGATTTACTATAGTATTCATCGATGGGTATCAAACCAAGTCCATGAAGAAAATGTTTTATCTAAATTAAGGTTAAAACTCACAATTGCATATATTCTTTTATAACCTACTTCTTCAGGGTCAATGCTAGGAATGAAATCATTATCCATTTATCTAAAATAAAAGTCAATTATATTTTATTTATCGTATGAATGTAGTTCAAAACGTAGACCCCTGTATTATCTCATTGAAAATATAAAAGGAGAAAGTATACAAAACAATCTATCAAGGTTTATTTGATAAGATATGGAAAGGTATTCATAGCTATCCGGATATCACTTCCTGTCATTTTTACTTGTAGATAAGTACCTAGAAGATTAAAAATAAATTGAAGTTCTTGATTTTCCTGTATATTAATTTTATGCGGTATTTTGTCTTATTATTAACCGAAATAAGAAGGCAGTCAAGCAGAATATCCGGAATGTTATTATCCGTTCTGTTTTAAATAATAGCCTTGGGTAGTTAACCGAACCTTTAATTAGATATAACTAAAAGTGACATAAGATAATTAGTATCTTCTCTATTATGAATTTTTGGAACTCAATATCATACTGCTTTTTTTTGACAAGGAAAACTGTATGACCGGAAATCAAAACTCATTAATAAGAAGATTGTTGATCTTTCATTTCGCTATCTTAGATGATAGACTTCAACAGGCAAAGCTGCTGATTTCTTCTAATGATGATCGTTTTTCCTCAGCAGTTTCTCGGAGCATCTCTAGAAAATCAAAACTTTCGTCTCCAACAGTGTTGGCGCAGACGAGTCTATTCTACCAACAGGAGTATTGTATCTACTCAGTCGTATGGAAAAAGCGTTTTCTCAAATTAAGTTTAAGATATACGTACAATCCAGCATCATTAATTTGACGTAAACATCAACCTTTAGATAATGATGTCGACAGACATAAAACTGAAACAACAAGGATTAAGTTACAAAAATAATTCATAGACCCTCGAGGCATATTTATACAAAAAAAATATACAATCAAAAGGATGTTTACGAGTTGAACATAATCTCTCATTAGTAATAATATTTTGTCTTCAATCTAAAAAGAAAAGATCTTATTCTTCTATCAAGCCATTAAATTTTATCTTTATCAATTTGAGAAGAAGTTTTAATGAGCATAAACAATTATAATAATAATAAAAAAAAACTGCTGTTAAATAAAGTACAAAAAATTAGTAGAGAAATGTTAAATACCACAGAAAAAAGATTTTGCACATACTAAATAATAACTATTATCGTTACTGTTTTGTTACTAGGAAAATAGATATAACAAGATGAAAGTAAATAAATGTATTCGTTTTGTTGCGTATTTTGTACAAAAAACAAGTGCACACGTTAGTTTCTTTTGTTTAGCTTCTATCTAATACCCACCACCAATGGAAGTTAATACAAATGAATAATAAATAATATATGACTAGAGTTATCATAGATGAGATAAATGGATTATTCGATGAGATCACGATTATTTATAAAACGACGAACAGACATATTTATTGGAAGATGAAAATCAATGGAAGTTAAACGATTAAGTGAATGAAGAGCATCATTAAAATCTTGAAATAATAAAAATATAATTATTCATCAGAAAATCATAAAGATTTATTTCATACCGGTTTGTTTCGTATAACTCCATTGTTGATAAGAACATTCAACTAATTGTCCAGTTTTAAGAATTAAACGAAGAAATGGAACAAGTTTCTTTTCACTAAAAAATATTTGTTTACATTAATAAGTTTAATGATTAACTTCGGGATATATATTCTATTTTAATCACAAGTAAAAATATAATTTCATAGAATATTATACTAATAGTTTGAAGATATGGAAGTTCATTTTGTTATCTTAGCCTATGAAATGATATTAGGAGTTTTAGATTATGAATTAGATATTCAATTCTTATTAGGCATGTAGCGAATCCGAACGTTCGGGTTCGTGATGGTTTGGGCCGACCTCTAACAATTTAAGCATCAAAATGACTTTTGTGACATATGTGGTCACCGAACAGTTCGAGTTTGGTTGATGTTTCATAATTTCCTTTATTATGCTTCCACATATGTCAGAAAAGTTATTTCGATGCTTAAATTGTTAGAGTTCGGTCTAAACTACCCCGAACCCGAACTAAGTTCGGATTCGGTTACATACCTAAATTCTTATATCCACTAGGAAGCTGTACTCTCGAAAGATGTGAAGAATGAGTTAATAGTCTTCTGTTAATTTAAACATACTTTAATGCATGACAGATAAATGATTTAAAACAACTATCCATCGGTTTTGAATGGTTTTCATGTAATTTAACAACTGTATCAATAGCACTTAATAAACACTAAATATAATTCATGATAGAATAAAAACAAAATTATTCAAATAGAATTAATGTATACTTGTTTTGTTGTAATTGATCTTCCACCAACAACATCTAATGAAAAAGATTGTGAAAGTTTCCGAGCTGGACTATTAATAAATTCATTTCCATTCTTTAAAAGAGAAAAAAAAATATAATTCTTTTCATAAAGAAAAGTTTCAATATCTTTTACTTTTAAATCATAATATTTTAAGAATAATTTCCATGCATGCATGTTTTCACCCACTGATGAATAAGTACCTACAGATTTTGTTGCAAAACATCCCCATTCAGATACATTCGTGGAATAACTTCCCTACAGATGATATTCAATGAAGAATAAGTTTAAATTCAAATAATTTTCATCATACTTCATAAAGACCATGTTCAAGTAATGCACGAAGTGTTGGTATAAGATCTTGTCGAACAGATAACATAATTGCAGTTGAACTAAACTCATTCTAAATACAAAACAATGAAAATTAGCCTTTTTTTTAAAGTTCTAACTTCTTCGTCGTCTTCAGTATCACTTGTCATAATTGATCCATTATTTGCTAATGAATTAGTTAATCGTACTGCAGTAAGAACATTTTCAATTGCAATTTCAAGTTTAGCTCGAAGATCGCTTTAATATATAAAAAGGAATTATTTATAATTATGATGTACATAATTTTGAATTAGTTTACCCAAAATGTTTTTTTGCGAGAAGATCTTTTTTTAAATTAGCCATTGCATATTTCGGTTTTTTATTCATTGATCCTGTTCCACATGTTAATAAAAAAAATGTATAAAGTTGAGTTAAAACAAGAAATTTTTTCATTGATTGGATTAAAGAAGATGAATGATGTTCAGATTGTAGACGAGATGGAATAGAATTTGATGTATGTGATATTTTTGATGGTTGAATTACTGTTGTCTTAAGAAAGCAAAACAAAAAATGAGAAATTAAAAAGATGTACAAATATTATTATATACAGGTTTTAATTTTGATTTAAGTACCAAAGATGAATTATTAGATTGAGAAGAAGAATCAATGATAGCAGCATTTGTTGCTGCTGTATTAGCAGCAGAATCAGCTAAAATCAATATTTAGTGAGATGATAAAATAATAATCAAAATATTACTTTTAAGAAATTCAATAAATTTTTCTAAATCACCGATTTGTGTACGCATTTGAATAATTAAATTTTCTTTTAATTTCACCGGATTAGTTAACTAGAAAGAAAAGTTATAATATTAAACAAAATAAATTTCAAGAAGAATTATTCGACAGACTGTAGTCTATAAAAGACTTATCGGAACTGACAAATTAGAATTCGATAGGCTCTGGTTAACAGTAGAAGTCAATTAAAACTCAAAAGGAAACTGATATTTTTCTGGTAGAGACGATAGTCAGATCGAAATGCTTTATCAAGAATACGGTTCATACATGAAATTACTATGCTTAACCAATTCTATTCTACGATCTTTTCTTCTCACTAAATTTGACTATAAATCTTCTCATATTTTCCATACCTGATAAATAGCTTGGTCAACAAGTTTTCTTAATTCTTCTGCACTAAATATATCAAAACAAAACGAAATTAAAAGACCTGAAAATGCTTTTTTTTGTTTAATTTAATACGAACGATAATTTTGAAACAGACGCATCGTCCAGTTGTATATCAAGTTTTTGACGTAATTGATCAATAAATACACGTTGTTTTTCCATTGTTACTGATGTTGGTGCACCTTCAAGTGAACCAGATGCAGCTGCATAATGTTCTAACTCATCTAATTTTTGTTTTAGTTCATTAATAAATTCTTTTTCACGGCATTTTTCTGCTTCGACAACTTCATGATTTGTACGATCATTTGCATACATTGATGGTTGACACATAACATCAGGTATTCCATTTGAAGCAAATTCATGTAATCCAACAAGTAAATTCTAGAAAAATAAATCTTTATTGAATGTAAACATTTTTTGAAGATTTATTTTTTACTTCACGATCTTCAGGTGTTGGTGCAGATACAACTTGTTGTAAACGTAGCTGAACATGAGCAAAATGACGAGTCAATGCTGCAAGTGATGTGCTTAATTTTTCATGTTCTTCAATTAACATATTTTTTTCAGATAATTCTTCATCAACACTTATACTATAAAAACAAAAAATTCTTTTTGTCTTAATTTAAAAATTGAACTATCATACTTTCTACTAAATTCAGTGTCTGATGATGCACCACCAATTGGAGTTAACCGGCCCGTCATTGAGAACTTATCATCATTCGACTCTTCGCTTGTTATTGTGTCTTGTCGATATGACATATTTTCGTGTATCATTATTGAAAGTAATGACCTGTATTCAAAAAACAATCACAGTATTGATTCATGCAGACATAACATACCGTGGGAAAACGATCGAATCTTATGGTATTACGTTGACGTAGAGAATATTTTATCAAGAAAAAAATTGATCGTTTTTTATTTTTATTAATACAATTCTTATTTAACATATGATTTCAACAATAAAATATATCTAGATGTCACTCCATGACGGATGAAGCGAAATAATATTTTTTTTCTGTTTTTTTCGTATCATTTTGAGTACGAAAATGTTCATCAATGACATAAAATTGAATTCCAGTTGTCATTTTCTCAGTTGATACACTCGCTGTTGTAGTTTCACCAGATTGTTGACGTTCGATATTTACTTGAGGATCATTCTAACAATAATAAGATTAGATTATTTTAAGCATAAAAATTCTCATTTAGACATAGATGTTGATAACATGAGTTCTCTACTAGCCATTTACTGAATCATCAAGTCACTTTATCTCGTTATAAATATTTATCATAGGAGAAAAAAAATCGTTTTTACGAACATAAAAAATATACGTGAAAAGAAAATGACAAATCTGATAACAATATGAATAAATTATTACCTGATGATTTATTTTTTCATTTGATGGTGATACTTCAACATGAATACTGTCTCTTGATATTTTTTTTAATGAATCTGATCTATCCATTGTTATTTTTGAGGTATGCCTAGGTAGTCGTATCATTTTATCTCCTAATGGTTTTTTGATTAATTTATATGTTTCAGGTAATGGTTGAATATTTTGATCGATATCATTGATTAATGTTTGACAATTTGTTGTAACTTCACCATTTTCTATAAGTTCATTAAGACATTGAATAAGATTTTTAACATGTTGAATTTCATGAGAAACTCCATTGTGTTTTTTAAGATATTTTAAATTTCTTTTTAATTCTTCACGTTTATCAAACCATTTAGTTTTTAATGTTGTATATTCATGAGCTATATCATCTGATTGAATATCTTTAATTAATTTAATTTGACTATTTCCATAGGATACACTATCTTCTGATTGTCTATGAACAACAGCTTCTTGTGCTCCAGTAACATTTCGAAACATTATTAATAGACATTTAGTTTTAAATTTCGGATTCTAATCATATTTCGATAAATAAATAATGCGCGGTTTTTTTGCAGCTGATTAGATAAAATAATTTCTTCATAGATTTAAGAAAATGATAGATTTTCATATGATTCGGCTAATTCAAGTGTAAACTATACTGATATTCAATATGCTCGATAAAGATGCGTTTGTTAATAATAACAGTTTATTTTCTTCGTATGAGTGATTCAAATAAATGAGAATTGATGAATCATTTTTTCATTGACGCTAAGGCAACAATCTTTTATTTATTCTTATATTAAGTACATGTTTGTATCTGGAAATCAAATCGAAAACATTCTGTATCTATATACTTACTCATAAAAAAGGCTTTAGTCTGAAATATGCAGTTTTATCTTATCTGGTTTGCTAATATATGATTAAATTTATCATTAGGAGAAAAATAAGATTTCAACGATTAAATCTTTATTTGCAAGAAAGATTTTCGTAAATTATGCACTATGGTTATTTTTTTATTATCAAATCTGTTAAGAATTTCACTGTATAAAAATCGACCTTTTATTCTCTTATAAGTTAAAAAGATTATGATCAATAAGAGTAATAAAATCGAAAACGGATACGATAGTTATGTTAAATATATATTCATCTGTAGAAAGAAAAAGAAAATCTTACCAAATGACGATAAACAATAAAAATCTTGCATCTATATATATTGACAAAAGCTATCAGACGACAAGCAAAAGAAAATAATAACGATATAATAAAACATTGTATAAAATACAAGATCATGGTATCATTTAATAATGATCTATTAACTATTCTGGTACTTATTTGTATATCATGGGCTGGTCTAACATGTATTGTAGCTTTTATTATTATTATATTTTTATTATGTAAAAAATGTCGTCATACTACGTCTGTTAGTCCCATTCGAACACCATCAATAAGTTCATCAGTTTCAATCACTAATCATTCTCCATTGATTTCTCGTGTGCCAACAAAATATCCTATTATAAATGGTGATCGAAATCAAAAGCTCGAACCACAACGACGTCCTTACAATACAATGGATTCTATAAATGAGCATTCTTTTTCTCCGCGCAATGTCAAAAATAAATATCCAGATGAAGAAGAAGAAGATTACAGATACAATAAAGGTAATGAAACAATAAGAACAATAGACGAAAGTCGAGTATATGATCAACGTCATCAAAAAAGACAATATCAATTACAAAAGCCAGTGGGAAATATAAGAGTTCTCGATCGAAATACACCATATCCACCTGATGTTATTGCCCGTGATAAACGAATGCATAATAATCGTTATACAATGGATGATAAATTTTAATAAAGATGAATAAAGATTGAAAGTTTCTTTTTTTCTTGTTCTATACACAGCATGATAATGCTTGTATCGATTCAATCAAATATGGCCGCTAAAAAAAACAAGGAAATTTTAAAGACTTCTTTTTTCTATCTAGGAATAATCAATTTACGAGAATGTTGACAAAATGTCATCTCATCTATTAAAATTTCCATGCAGTTAGTGATGTGTAAATTCTATGAATATTTTATAAAGAACGACTTCATATTAGAACATGCTAACAATAAGATTATTATATAAAAAATGAAACTATTGAGTTTATACATAGTAATAATGAGTTTTGAACTTAAAGAATTAGTTTTTTGAACATTCTAACCGAAAAATTTTGGCATTTACAATGTAAGTATGAAGGATATTAACTATTCTACTATGTAAGTTTTTAATTACTGAATTGTAAGTTTAATAATAAGACCCATCAGTATTTTTTTTACTAAAGTATGTCCGAAGTATTGAAAAAGAGAATCTTATATTACTCTGAGATGTAACGATAATCGATCGATCTGTCTACATGGTTTTTTACTAATCAATTGATTATGGACACATTTTCTTTTTTATGTCATAAAACTAACCCGTTTACAGTAGTCGATAAAATCGTCCATTGTTATTTCTTCAGTTTGCATCGGATCAAAACTCTGAAAAAAGAAAGAATGCAGATAATTGTATCGAATATATAAATTAAGCACATACTTCGAAAATCTTATCAACATGTTGTAAAATTTCTCGTTCATCAACACGAGGTTGAGCTGCTGTGCCAAGAAGATCATAAAGTGAAAGAATTACTTCGGTGACATTCTAAAAATAGTTTCTAAATATATGTAATTCTAGAAAATTATTTTAATACTTCTCGTGTTAATTGTCCATCACCATTAATATCATATAAACGAAATATCCATCGTAATTTTTCATCAATTGTTCCTCGACATAGAACAGATAATGTTAATATATAATCCTATTGAAATTAGATTTAATTAATGATAAAAAAACAAAAGATTTTTACATCGAACGTAAAAGTTCCTCTATGATTTCGATCAATAACCGAAAAAAGGTAATGAGCATATTTGACAGAATCTATGGAATACAAAAAATATAAATAAGATTTGATATGTTTTTTATTTACTTCCTTGAGGAAAAAGTTGTAAATAAATTTCACGTAATCGTTCTTCGCTTACATTTCCACCTGGACAATCCTTTAACAAATTGAATAATAAAAAGAAAAAAAGAAGATTTTATTCATACTTGTTTAAAACTTCGATATAAAAGACGAATTTCTGATTTGGAAAATCGTGTACATTTGACAATTTCATCTAATGAACGTGGATGTTGAAAATTTTTTGAAAGAATACTATCCAATCGAGCATCTTAATTGGAAAAAAAGAATTATTAATTTTTTGTTAATCTAATCAATAAGAACAAAAAAGAAGCATGCTCTTTATTTAATTATAAACATATAATAGGAAAAGAATTTTTTTTATACTAGAAATAAACTATATATACCTCCTCGTTTATTTCGTTTGAGTTTAACAAAACTAAAACTATTTTGTCCTTGCGATAAACCAGCTATATTAGCACCCATCGTTGTTGGCAAGCACCATGGGTATCTGATGTATAAACAGTTATGAGCAATTCATCACGCACACACTTACGACCTATCTATCACAATCTCTTAGTTTATTTTTCTCTCTCCCTCTCCTTCTCCCTCATCGTCTGTTTCATTATAAGATTGCGCGACAAGCTGAGAATGAAAGATGACATTTTCCTAGCTCTTTTTAATCATCATCATCTTCAGTAGTCGTGTGTAAGTACATAAAATATATGTAAATTATCCAAACAAATATAATTGCAAAAATAAGAGAACATGTCAAAATCGAGATGGTATCTAAAAATTAATCAATATTTCTATATCAACTTAGATTGACGACTAACATCTTTATGTGTATGATACAAAATCTATTGATTAGAAGAATTTCTATTGTTTACATATACAATCAATCAGAAAAATGAATAGTGATATTAATAAACATGTTCTTAATCCAAGAACAACATAATTATTCTTCTAATTATTACTCTATTGTAAACAGATGTTTACTAAATAAACGAAACACATTCTATAGATCATATATATGTTTAATATTTTGTCTTATAAAAGCATCAATAATGTTAATCTATCGAAAACAATATATATAAATTAATCGAATAGACAAAAAAAAATTTTTTTCTTTTCTTTATACAAAAATTCTTATAAGGATAATTACTATTGATATACATTCTTTATATAGTACAATGAATTCACTTCATCTATGTCGGAAATATTTCCGAGTAGTCAATCGAATTGTATCTTATTTAAGAAAATTTATCGAGAGTAAAACAATGATTATTTTATACGCTTATAATAGATTTTATTTTGAAATAAAATCTTTTTGTTATAAAACAAAATAAATAAATTAGTGTTATATGAGATAGTTTCACTCTTGATTGTATTATAAGAATATAAAAACAGATAATATTTAAATCATCGGAAGAATTTAGTATTTCTAATTAATTAAAAATCTATTTCATACTTAAATATAAAGTATCAACATACTTAGAAACTCTTCAAACTTATTTTCATAATTGCTCTACTCTATTATATTATGTAAAAGGTTTGCATTAAATACTACTGGTAATAATAGATGTAGAAAATGTATGAGATTGAGAAGAACATGTATTTGAATAAGTAATGTTGATTCTATTTTACTACTAATTTAATTGATCAAAAAACCAGATATTATCGGAATATTTTTGTTTTTACATTATATTTCAACTGCAAAAATATTATCACGATAAATAAAGTTATTTTTCACATTTTAGTTGCGTGTATTTCCTTGCTTAATCGAGGAACATCACTCGACTTATTTAGTTTATTACGGATCAATAGACCGAGACATTTTGTTTATGGTATATGATGTGTAAATAAGTATATTCTTCATCATATATCAATAGCTATACTTATATAAAACTTTGTCAAAAATCCAGACAATATATATACATCTATATACCTGGTACTTGAATACGGCGAACAGCTCGAGTAATGCCAGTACTTAAACGTCGAGAGAATCGTTTACAACTTTCAAGTATACGAGATGGTCGTCGATCAGTTGTCGCTATTGCTGAATGAACCCAAGACATAGTTTTATCTTTTCATCAATCTAAAATAATTTTATAAATGACATAGGACAAAATACATGTATATATATATATTTCTAAGTATTACTGGCGGATTTTCTTTTTTATTCGTTTATATATATCTGTCTATCTATCTATATCTATTTTTTCTCGTCTCTTTGTGCATACACTAGCTTTTTTTTTCCCAACACACATTAACTATTTTACACTTATTCAGCAGATCATTTCCAATGACTGCACTCGGGTTCGTTGGTTTGTTGGATGACAACTACTAGTCATATAATGGTTCTCTTCTTATTCTCATAGGTTTTACTTATTTTCGATGTATTATTATTTTATGAGAAGAAATAATGGAAACCAAGTGCGAACAACAAAAGAGTGGCAAAAAAAAAGGAAACGAACGGAAAGAAAAAAAAAAGTAGAAACGATCATTGATAATAAATGAAGAGCCGTCAAAGAACTTTCTACATTTCTTACACCTACAAGTACCTTATCCGGTGCATTTTCACGGTAGAATTCATCGAATTAATCATCATTATTTGTATTGCATCGATGAAAGTACTTGGCTCATTTATATCTGTCTGTAATCAAATGGTTAACTTTTCTAAATGTAATATAAACAATTTTTCTTTCTATCTTACATTAACAATTTATATGTAGTTAACAAATACATATTCTTCGAACAATAGTTTTACGAATAGATGTTTTTTTTATTATTATTATTATATTCGTCATTAATAATAAAGAATGTCAAGATGTACAAAGAGATAAAGTCGCCTGTAAATATCAATCTCACATCGATTAGATCGAGAAAATAAGATGTTTTTATTGCTTTATATTCGCCATTTGCTGTTGACATATATTATTTAGATTGTTGTATATTAAGCATCCTTCCAATGCCAATCATTATTATCCTGATTATATTTTGCTCTTTGTAACTAACTATGGAACAGTATCAGTTGGCTGTCTACCACCAAGTAGTTTTCTTCTTAAAGAAAGTCTTCCATTGGTGTGCTGCACTTGACATTTTTTCTGTAACGATGTATTAGAATGAAGAGAATACGTTTGACATTGTTCTCTATTTTGTGAACTAATCGATGATGAATTAGATCTAGATGATTGAGTGTTCGATAATATTAGACGTTTTGTCATTGGCAAGGTCTCGTTTTGACATTTTTGTTGTTGACTAAAATGTGAAAATATTTTTTTATTTGTATTATAAGTTTGGTGCTGTAATATTGGTGATGTTTTTATAAGATAATTCATTGGTTGATGATTTGAACGATTTACTTGAAAAAGTTTTTGTTGATTTTTTGTAGTTGTTTTTGTTTTATACGTTAAACGACAATAAAATAAATTACGAAATGCTCGTCGATATTTATTTGAAACAACATTATAAAGTATTGGATTAATCACTGAACCAAAATAATATGTCGTACCGGATATAATATATAAATAAGCCATTACACTTGCAGATAATTGAGAATCAGATATGAGATTTAAATTCATAATAGCTAATAGTAAACGTTGTATATAAAGTGGAGCATAACAAACAAAAAATGCAATAACAACAGCAACTAAATATATAAAAATTATTTTTAATCTTCGGAATATAGTCGAGTATACTGAGTAAAAATTATATATCTATTCTTAGGAATTTTTCTTATCTATAGAAACATTCTGTTATTTAATTTTACTAAGATTTTAGGATTACTGACATGTTTTTTTATCGTGATATGTCAGAGTAAGTTATATACCGCAAGAAAAATCTAATTTTTTTAGAGGTCATAAAATAATGTGGTTAAATAAAATTTCTGTTTTTATTAAATATATCATATTATGAAACTATTTTTGGTTATTGATAGATTCTATTTATATGAATTTTTGTAAATTAATTTACCTAATGTTTTAATAACAACTTTTCGTGCTTGACATCGAGCACGAGTTTTTAACCATGAATAAGAGCCAAGATGAGTATTTTGATTTTTTGTATCCATTGTTTCTTTTTGCGTTATAATTGAATGACATGATGTATTTGGTGTTAGTTTTTTAGATGCTATAGAAGAATTGCATAATGACAATGAACTTGATTTCATATTATTTGAAGCATTTTCATATTTATTAACATGATTCAATGCTTTACCAATAAATAAATAAATAGCTCCAATAATAATCATTGGCAAGTAAAAAAAACCAAATGATGTTATTATAATAATAATTGATAATAATTTATTTACATCTTTTTTTGGTCCACATGATTTACAAAAAATTGTTTCATTTAATCGTAAAATTTTCGAATGATCTATTAATGGTAATGTTGTTGTTGATGCTACAACAAATGATTGTGTATCAATTTCATATAGGAAACCAAATGGTACACTAAATATTAATGATATAAACCAAATAATAAGAATCACTTTTTGTGCACGACGAAAATGACTTAATTGATGAAAATGTATTGGATGAACAATAGCAGAATAACGTTCACATGTAAATGCTAAGATAGTTAATATTGATGAGCAGGTAAAAAATTCAGCACATATACTTCGTAATTTACAAAATATAACTGATAATGGCCATTCACGATAATGTATTTCAATCATTTCTATAGGTAAATTACACATTAATATCATAAGATCAGATATAGCCAAATTAAGTAAATAAAAATTAGTTGGTGTACGTAAATGAGTATTACATTTAATTATTACAATTGTCATTATATTTCCAACAAGACCAATAACAAATATTACAGCATATGTTATAAGTAAAATTTTTTCAATAAAATATGGATCCGAAAATGAATTATAAAATATAGATGAACATTTATGTTCATCATCATTGACTAACATTGTTAGTTTTCTACTGTATAATATGTAAAATCTGAAAATGAAAGATTTCCATATTATCTCCTTTATTTAAAGACATATTAAAAAAAAAGATGTTCTTCATGTACCTCTCGTTTTATTAAACGCAATAGACACTATGTAAATAGATTAAATAGCATGCTCTGTTCGCCTACGTCAGTTTGAACGATTAAAAATGAGTAAAGCCTTTTCTCTATCGCGTAATTTATAGTCTAAAAATGGTTTTTCTTTTCTAGAAGACACATCTTTGATATGTCAACTATATGATAATCTAACATTTAGCGATAGAATGTAGTTCAACTCATTAAAAACAAGAACAAGTAGATCAGATACTTAGAAAAGACTGGCTGAAATAAATATAAATATTTTTACTAATATACGCAAAATAAAATATACGTTGTTTTATTATTTTATCTGAGAAAAAAGCAAATACGTAGAATTTCAGGTGTAAAGTTTTAACTAAATAAAAATCAACATCATGTGCAGACTAGTTCTGCTTTAAGATAAGTGTTCTCAGATTGTCTTTTTCAATGAGTAAGAAATTTCCTGTATTCAGTGTGGTGACATATTATCTCTACGGATAAGATTCTCTTTTTCCGTCGTAGACTAATCTTAGTTTTCTCAAGGCACATTGTAATACCTGAGGAAAATAAGGTTCTAGAATTGAAAAACTGTAAATGAATATCTGATGTATTTACTAAATTTTTCAAAATAAAGCGAAAAAATACTTAAATAGATAATAATGTAAACAGCTACCCGATTATTATATCAAAGAAGAAAAAAATGGAATAGAATGATGATGTTTTTTTATAATATCTAGTTAATGTCGATTAAAACGGAAAAAAAGCCGCTAATAAAATTTGCAGTTTTTTACTTAGCATAATCGTTTATTAATACAAGAAAATGAGTTACACGCTTAAATCAAACAACCAAGAATTTGATATTCTATTAATTTTCTTTCCTCAGTATACTTACTTTTTTTTCCAAAATAAATTTTATCGATTAATTTAACATAGTTAAGACAATCATATTGAATATCACGTATATGTCTACAGTATGAGTAGTGCTCTATGTAATATTTCAAAGAATATATATCGCTTTCTTTTTCTTTCCATTCCTATATATATATATTTCTTACAGACTATTTTCACTTAGTAGATCACTACTTTATCACAAAGACGTCTCTTTTTCTTAATATATATAAAAAAATATATATATTCAGATAAGAGTGCCTCGACTACTTGGATAGACGGTGGATAACATCATTATTTTAATAGAATTAGATTATCACATACAGAAAAAACATACACTTGACATTTGCCATTTTTTTTACATATTTCTAGTACAACTGTAAAACATAGTGACATTATCCATGCATAATATATATATCTATTCCTAATAAAGGTAATAATCAAAGAAAAGAAATGTATCAATATAAAATGAAAGACTTTTACGTACATAAAATATTTAATTTTTTATTAGTATAACGTCACATAAATGATATTCTATAAGTCTAATCTATATCGTCAAAAATAGCTGTTATGTTGTTCATATTGAAACTAATTTTTATCTATTGAATACAATAGAATAAAATAAATCTTACAATAGTATGTTGAATAGCTCGCTATGTATTATCTAGAACTAATTATTTTTTTGTTTTTTCAGACATAAAATAATTTGTGATATGATATACATTCTTATATTTCCATAATACGTGACAATGGCTGGTGTTTTGATACTTTATTTGGCTCAGAGAAAGTAGATTAGCGCGTCAGAGGTAAAAGTACTCAACATTTTAATACATACTATCTATTTATTAAGAAATGTATCAGGTTTACATGTATATATCAAATAACTATGACGATAATTTGAAAAGAAAAGAATCGTTAGAATTTAATTATTTTCAATGTGTGAATTTAAATAGAAAAGTGTAAAATAATGATTGAAATTAGTTTTCTCGAACAATAATCAAGAGTCATATATATGAGACAATTATACTCTGTTTTTATTTATGTTGTCATTCGTGACACGTTTGCATGTTCATTCATAATAAACAATGTTTTGATAATGAACACAACTTTTCTTCCAAAAACAAGAGAAAAGCTAGAAGCATAGCAGCGCTACAATAATCTCTTTCTAAGAAAATATAACATATTACGTCATATGCACTTGTGCACTAACCCATACTCTGAGTTTAACTATTGAAAATCCTACGTATATTATTCGCGGAATCAAACTTTATGCTTTTTTTATTAAAATTACTTATGGATATTTCATGTTTATTTTCTTCTCTTAGTCACGAACAGTAGCGTTCATCTCATTTGAATATTCATAATAGTCACGTCGCAAATGAATAGTATATATACAAAGTACCTGCTAATTTAATTTTTGTCTTCGATTAATATATGATATAAAGAGGTGTAATTATGTTTTATATCGTTTAGTTCTATCATTAAAGTATTCTTCTTCTTTTCTTAACAAGAATAATCGACTTACACAAGATTGTCTTTGAGTCCAAAGAAAAAATATGAATTCTATCTTCGAATCTGAAACAAATGACGTACTTATTTTTGTTCAATACAATACGAGTAAACTTTCAAAAATGATCCTGTAATACTGGTGTCATAATAAAATCATCATATTTTATTCTATTAATTTTCAAGTCATTTTTTTAAATAAAAAATAATCAGGTGATGATTAATCAAAAGTTCATCTGAGTCCAAGTAGAAAATGCTTTTTTCTCTCTATATGTGTTAATGAAAGATCTAACGATAGTAAACACGCAAAACTTAATCAAATTACCTAGATTGAAAAGTAACTAGGCATAGTGACATATCACTATGTTTTAAATTGGAAGAATATAACGTAATAGAATTTCACATAAAGATAATGAAAAAAGCTGATTTTATTGCTTTAGCAAATCGTAAACAATACGTTGAAAAATTCAGTCCAGAAAATGAAATACAATAATATCAGATAGTAATATTGAGTAAATGTAAGTTTAAAAAAACTTGCTTTTATGATATGTAAACACAATAAGAGTTTAAAATTGTTTTTCAACACTTGACATTTTATTAACCAATTGATAAAGTTAAGTGCTGGATAGACTTATAGAAAGAATAAGAATAGTCTCAATTATATATTCTATAATTATTATTTTTAACGAAAATATTGTCATTATAAGTCAATTCTAATTTCTACAGTTGATAGGACAAACAAAACATGACTATATGCCTAGACAATTTTACACAAGTGCATTTTATTATAATCTATATTTAGATAACACAGTAAAAATATTTCCTATACTTTATCACATATAATTGAAGGCATTTCTTTGAGGAGATGTACTTAAAGAAGATAATATGATATCTCATAGACCTATATAAATCTCTTCGTAGCAGAAAGAATCGTTCTATATAAGAATAAATCCGTCTATATTATAAGATATTCTGAATGAATGAATATGAAAAGAAACAGATATGAAGAATATATCATATGAAATAGAATGTTAAACTCTATGGAAAGGATTATATGGTATTTCTTGTCATAATCCATTAATGCATGAAAAAATCTCTGTTTTTAGCGACGTCATCTGATCAGATGCGCTATTCTCAAAACAGGTACTTTATCATCTAAAGACAGTATATACGAAATCTAAGACTATTAATAAACTCATCTGCGCTCATATTATTTCTTCATAGACAGTAGTTAATTATGATAGTCATTTGAAGAAGTATAACTCATATCTGTTAAATTCTGAATAGATATATTCTTTACCGTAATATGTAATTCCAATCATGTATCGAATGCAGCTGACTTTCGATAATAACAATAACAGTGACGAATAAAAGAACATTTAATATCGAATGAAAGTCATCGAATCATATGATAAAACTTGAAAGAAAAAAAAGCTCTTATTCCGGATATTGTTTTTCCTTTGACGCAACGATATCATATTCTTTTATTAAGATTTAACCAAGATTTTATAAAAACAATGTATATACGATAGCATATGATTAATAATCAATAGCAAAAATAAATTAACGTGACCAAAAAAAGAATATTTATATATATATACATGTCTACCAACCTTTATTCGCTTTTTTCTTATTAAAATTCTGAATATAATTGTTTGTTTAAGTAAATAATTCTCCTTGAGGGAATACAAGAAATTAGTTATGGAACAAGTCATGTTTTCCTAATACTCTTTTATCTATTTAGTAAAAGTATTTTTCGTGACGTATGTAAGAATTATGAGACAAAATCTGTATTTAATAGAAAATAATAGTATAGAGTTCATAAGGTATCATCTTACTAGACGAACTAATTTCCAGTTCTTTTATACAGCTGATGTGTTTGAATTATATTAATATTTTCTACCCTGTCTGTCAATTAACATGCTATTTATTCGTATGATACATATAAGATTACATTTCTTTGTAGGAGGTATGTCGTTGGCGTGATAATGCTTGTTTCTTTCGATCTAAAAAATTTATGCAATTGCGTATGTATTCTCAGGAAATATTAATAATTGATAACAATATATTTACGAACCTCGTTCAAGCCATGATTTTGAAGGTCTAAGTGGTACCTATTTAATAAGAGAAAAACTAGAGAATAACTGATATAAATTAGATAAATTATATACATTATAACCGGCTTGTCTTAATGCTACAGCCACTGGACATATCTGAATATATAGATGAGAAATTACATATATATATTTCTTTGTAGTTGTTAATACCCAATCATCTTCATTATTATTCTGTGTTTCATCGACAACTGTCTTTGTTATATTTGCATTTTTATATTTGTTCGTTGTTGTTTCATGAGATAGTTTCGATTTTTCATCTTGTTGTTGTTTTAATTGAAATGTCAATTGTTGTAAATCGACTAGTTGATTATCTTGAGAATTTTCTTTATCTTTTAAAATATCTAAATGATTTTCTGTCGTTTGAGAAATACTAGTACTAGGTATTAAGAGAGATTCAATGAAGGTATTTGTAGATGTAGAAATATGTTTTTCACGATTCAATAATGATGAATGAAGTCGTTTCGATGCTGCCATATCTCGATATTATTTATTGCACGCGTAAATAATCGAAAAAAAACAACAATAAATATATAGAACAAATAATTTTAAATTCAGTTGCTATGTAATTTAAAATTTTTACAGATAATAATAATATGATTAACATAAGCTCAAAGATACTAACACTTGTCTGATCTACTATGTGATAAGTATGATGTATTTCGATTTTCAATCGCATTACTTTTTAATGCTATTATACAATGAGCTTATAATGATGATAACCACTGAACATCATTCTTCTCTTAATAAGAAACCGTTCGTTCAGTCTTATAGTATGCTGATCTTGTTATAGATACTTACACCCTCTTTTTAATATTCTCTATAAGACTTATACTTATCGATAATTTGTGCATTGTTTTGTCCATTCAGTAATTTATAAAATATTCTATATACATCAAATGGCTAACAAATTACCTGCTGCTAGTATACTTCGATACGCTTATTTACATGGTTTTGCTAGTTCACCATTATCTACAAAAGGTGTTGAACTACAACGATGGTTTCAAAAGAAATTGAATTTATCGCTTGATTTACCAGATTTAAATATACCATCTTTTCGAAAGCAATGCCTTACTCATATGGTCGATCATATTGAACAAAATATAATTCGTAAAAGAATATCATTGAAATTTTCTTTTTTACTTCTTTTAAAATTATAGAATCGAATTCAAATTGGTATCTTATTGGTAGTTCATTTGGTGGTCTTGTTTCTACACTTGTAGCTCAACGACAACCTAAATTAATTCATTCATTACTTCTTCTTGCACCTGCATTTAATCCTATTCAAAGATGGTCATCAAAAATTAACATTGAACAATGGAAAAATCAAGGGTTTATAAATTATTTCAATCCATCAAAACAATGTGATGAACCAATTGATTATGAATTCTTTCGAGATCTTCATTCGTATCCATCCTATCCAATTGTTACAACTTGTCCTATTACAATCATTCATGGTTTAAAAGATGATGTTATACCAATTGAGACAAGTCGTGAATATATGCAAAGAATTCATACAATAAATCAATATTCAACAAATATGGTTGAAGTCAATGATGATCATCATTTAAGAAAGAAAAAAAGTATATATATAATCAAAAAAATCATTCTTGACCAACAAAAATCAGTTATTGTTAATACAACAGAGCATCATTGATAAAATCGGATGTATATAAATTCCTGAATTTTATTCTATTTCAATTTGAAACAACGTCATTTTTTTTTCTCATAAATAAAAAGATTTTAATTATGATAACAATATCATACGTTGATAAGATAAATAACATACCAAAACAAAGCAAATGTCTATCTGATGTACGATTTCACAAGTAAAAAAAATCTTTTCTCTTAATTCAATCTTCATTCATTCAATGTAGATATACAATGTAACACATATCAATTCGATAAAATGTTCTACATTATTTCCGTGCAAGTTTCTTGTTTTATTCTTAGATACGTCATTATCATCTCTTGTTGAATATTCATAACTTTCAAGTGTTTCTTTTTATAAAAATATATAATTACAACTCAAATATTTATCATTATCTAAGATTTCAAAACTGAAATTGAATCCTTCAAATAGTGTAGTAAACAATCATTTGTGATAAATGATATTTATAGAAACTAGACGTTGTTTATCACATGAGCAAATATTTTTCTTTATTCTATTTTTTGATTTTGACTATATAATAAAAATGAAGATTCCTATAGTTATCAATAAAATATGAGATTTGTCGAAAGAATTAAATGGGTAGTATTCGAGGTGTAGTTGATGTTGATATTTTGGACGCCAAATGTGAGCCAAAGAAAATCTTAACAAAATATGCTATTTTATCATTAAATGCTGCTTGATTTCGACTATAAATATTAAGATAAATGCCAAAAACAACAATTAAACCAGACCAAACATAACTAATAGAAGAAAAAATAGATGCAATTATCCTATTGATAATTAATAGAAATATTAAACGTACTCAAAAATAAATGGTTTTGAGAAAAGTATAAATGATAATACAATTGTAATTGCTTTTCGACATGTTGTCACTGTAACACAGATCAATGCACCATATTCTTTGATTAATGTTAAGACAATATCAATGCCCAAATAACCAAAAACAGAGAAAAGAAAACCATAACCATAAGTTCGGAGAGGATGCTAAAGGTTTTAAAAGCAAAAAAAGAAGAAATTATTAATTTCATCAATTTATCGAACAAGTATTTAATATATAAAAGAAATCTATTTCATAAATAGGACTAAGATTAAGAGAATACTAGTTTACATACGTCAAAAGTAAAACAGAACAATTTTGTTCTTTAAAAATTGGCCTAGAATTACGAAAAAATGATATATTTCCTAAAGAAATCTTATGCTTTATTAGACTCGATTCATAAAAACTCAATCGCTATCGATATTTTTGTGAATAACTAGAATAAAAAATATCAAACCTGATTCCAAATTATAATGCTGGGAAATAAATTATTTGTCATTAAAATACCAAATAAAATCATAAGAAAACCAAACATAAAACTATAAAATACCTAAAATTTATCATAATAAAAAGAGTGATTTTCTTTGTCTTTTATTACCATTTCAACATTAGGAATATGGTGTAGTTTCATAATTTTTTCTTGATAATTACCAATAACAGCATCTGCAACAAGAGCCATACAAACAATAAATACGCCTAAAGAATAAAAATAATAATTATTTTCTATTGTGTTAAATTAATTATACCATATGTATTGAAATTAGGTCGAACTTTGGAGTCTGCCAATGTAAAAAATATTAGTCCAGTTGACATACAAATAGCAGCAGCAACATCATAACGATTAAATGTTTTTTCTTAATAAAAAACATCAAAATAAATCGAAATTTATTTCTTATTTTATTACTTTGAATGATAATACCACCAATAAGTACGGGTATTAGTTTACAACATTTAAACATCACTTGTGTACTAGAAAAATAGATACAAATATAAACATAAGAAACGTGAAGATATATTTTCTTACGGATAATTTAGATAACCAACTGAATAATTAGATAAACCCATAGTACCTACAGTAAGTGCAGCAAGAATTATATAAGATCGATAGGTTGTTCTAGGAGCGAAAATAATATTTAAAAGATAATAAAAATTTTATATTATTTTATACCTCCGTTGATTTAATCCAGCATAACCAATTTGAAGAAATGCAAGAAGAGCATAAATAAGAAATTGATAACATGTTAAAAACCATGCTGTTGTATTGAAACCTTCTAGCGTAAATATTAGTTCCTTTAAAAACAAGATTTCTATCAAAAATAATTTTTTAAGTTTTAATGAAACGAACTTGTAAATAACCATAGCCTACATAATATAGAAAAAGTTGTGCACATGATCCCATAAAACGAACTGGATGTTGATAAGATAAAGCTGAATATTGTTGCCAAAGAGGTATTTTTAATGTAGCATATCCTAAGTGATCATGTTCTCTAGGTGGCATATTATCAGTTATTCTATTATCAGCTGTTGTTGATACGTTGCTCGACGAATGAGACAGTGATGATTCAAAGTCTAAAGGTATGAGTAATATATATAAATCATCAATAATATTTTTCTTATTATAATGCAAGTCTGTTCACCTTCAGAATGTATTTTATTCATGTCGATTGTGTGAAATACATTAATTAATTTAATCTCACTCTAATAAAATCTAGAATAACCAATAACTTCATTACTACTCAATGTTTCATCGATGGAAAACAAATAATAACATTGTCTTTTCTTTTTTGCAATATCGTCTTTTTTTTTATTTCAATATTAATTTACCATTCGTTCTTCTTCTTGTACACAGCGAACCGTAAAGAAAAAAAACCTTATATACACATAACACATGAAGGACAAGAAAAGCACTAGAAATAAAAAAAAAGGAACATGCGTATACTATGAATATATAAATATATATATGTATATCAGCCCATAGGCTCAGATCCGGTAGAAATGCTAAAAAATACAGACAGACAACAGAAAATAGACACAGAAAAAAATGAACGTTTTTTTTTTTTTATAAATATTTTTCATTTTGTTCAGTCGAAAATATACAATACACTGAAGTTACAACACCAAAAGGAAAAAGAAAAGAAGAAACTGATTTAAAGACAAAATGCAATCCGTATGAATGCGAATACACTGGTGTAGAAAAATGTCAATAGATAAAAAAAAGAGAATAAATACGAAGATAAATATGTATGTATGTATTTATATAAATATGTATATAGAAAAAAAGAAGTGGAATGACACGGAGAAAAAATGACATTTATATATATATATATATTATATATGGGCATAAGCTATGTTTCGTTTACTGTGATACTGAGAAAATAAGAAAATTGTATTTATCTTTTTCGATATTTTTTCTAATGGTTTGCACGGGATGGTTGATGGAGAACAAGTTTAGGTGTACGAGCATAATTTAAACGTTGTCGTTCAATTATTTTATTGAATGTTTGTTTGGATTCATCCGTATTACTTGTTAACATTAATTTTGATGATGTTTTAGCAGATCGTCGTCGTCGTTGATGAATTCGTTGTAAATGACGATGATGAGCAACAAGTGATGATGTTGATGATTCAAGTGTTGATACTGAAGAATTTGTTGAATGACATAAAGATACATTTAAATTTCGATGATGAATTGATGATATATTCGGATGTTGAGATGTATACTAAAAATTTAAAATTTTAGATCAATAAAATAAATAGGTAATCATACTTGAAGAACAACAGATGATCGATCATCATCATCATCACTTTTAACTTCTTCAACTTTTTCGTCGAGTTTAGTATCATTAGCAGTTTTTCGATGACGTCTAGCACGTGTTCGCGAAGCAATCTGTTCGTAAACACTCATACCTAAATAATATATATAAATATGAATTTTTAAACGTAATTTCTATTTTTCTTACTCGCATGTTCAATAAGTAAATTCTCAATTGGATTAAAATGATGTGTATTTGGTGAAGATGATCTATTTATAGATGGTGATTGATCAGTTCTCATTAAAGGTGGTGATGCTATCCAACTATTTGTCATAATACTATTTATATCATTTGGTGAAGTTTTATTTGAATCTACAACTAATAAGAAAACAAAGAAAATTATTTAAAATATTGATTCATAAAAATAGAAAACTAACTAGTATCTGACACAAGAACCCAACCATCTTCATCGATCAATGAATCCGATGAGAATCGAGTTTTGTTATTTGTAGATGTTGTTGGTGATAGCGGTTTAGACCACAATGATGTAAATACTTTATACATTCTATGACCTTGAATAGACTAAAAAAAAAAATTCTTGAATATATATATTTAAAAGAAAATAATACAAACAAGATATAATCAAGTTGATGCTGTTGTTGTTATATATATGAGGAAATTCTTCATTGTTGTTTTTCTAACCGAAGTACATAGGATATGTCGGTTATAAGTGCAATATTGTTGAGAATAAGAGAAGAAAATATCTCTGTTTCTAGCGACGATAGTTGACGCGGGCACGAGAAAAATGCGTTAAATAAGCAAGAAAAAGCGACGAGATTGTCGATCAAATAATTACGCGTAGAGTTGAAGGAAAAGAAAAAATTGTCAAACTCAATCTCATCATCTAACCCATACGCTGCTTGCATGCCAAGATCACATGGCTGATTGACCTATGCCTGTCAAATCTAAACCAATAAAAATTCTTTGTTTTCTTTTTCTATTATTAATTATTTTTAATTTTCGAGAATATTTATCTCTAAGAAATTCTCAATCAATATGAACTCATATAAATTAACAATTTAGCGACATCTATTTTCAAATATTTTTTCTATTTAAATATAATTAAAAATATATTTTTTATTGAATAGAAATAAAAAATGAACTTAAAAACTAGTCTGAAGTTATTTTTATATGAATTAATTTATATTGGTCTTTGTAACTAACCAATTAAAATCGAATCGATACTTCTCTTTTTTCTTCTGTATTGAAACAAAAGCGAAATATTGAAGAAAAATGGATCCAGCGCAATTATTAATCTCTCAAAATCGTTCATTTGCATCATTAGAATACGTTCTTCAGGGTAGTATTCAAGATGAATCTGTATATTTGCTTAAAGCACGTCTACAAGGATTATGTGATAATATAACTGGTTAGTTTTCTTATCTTTTACAATAAGATTGTTGTAAAAAAAATCTATTTTATTCAGGTGAAGTTGAACAATTTGATGATCATGAAATAGTTTATACTCTTCGTATACCTGCTGCATCAAATGTATCATTACGTGTTCGTTATGCATTAGATGATTTACCCAATCCAATATATCATTTACGTTATGTGGCTTCTGCTGACTTAGATAAAAATCAAAATGTTAGTGTACGACAATTTCATGATTGTTGTGTAACAAAAAATATTCAATTATTTTTACAAGAACTTGGCTTTGTTCATGATCATGAATTTTATGCTAAAGGTGATATATTTCGAAAAGGAAGAATGAAAATAACAGTAGCAAAAATTTCGACGGTAAATATCATCAACTATTATATTTTATTCATTAAGATCGTTACGATGTATGAAAATCTTTAGAATGATTTGGATTTAGATTCTTCTATCCTACATCTGTAAACGTTAGTGGTTTCTGCTGAATTGAGATAGATTGAAGAGCATTTTATCATGTCTACATACAATTAGACAAATCTATTGCACTATTTATTAGGATTCTTCATGATTCACTCTTCCCAGTTTGCTTATCATTAAACACATATACCCCGTGAGTTTTCGAGTCTTCATTCCACTCGGAGTCGAAAGATGACTGTAAGTCGTTCTTTCAACTCACTGTTATCTTTTAAAAAAAGATCATGTGTTGATTTTGTGGCTATGGTGTTTTTTTTCTTTTTTATATTACTTAAGCAGATATTAATTATTCTAAGCAGTTATAAATTGTTAACCTGTTACAGCAACAATAAAATATATATTAAAAAAAAAACGTTTGCTTATCATTGAAACGAACAGAATAGAAGATGTTAATCGTAGTTTTAGATAATAAAGAGCACACGTACTTGTTGAGAAAATTAATCTGTTGTCAATCATTAACTCGTTTTACTAGTCCTATTATGATGGAGAAATTTTTATCGAATGAAAGATCACTTTGAATTAAGAATTTATTTTTTTCTCAATTAGGCAGCTGAACGAAATCGTGGTGATATGAATCCAATGGCAACACGTCGACCATATACAAACTCATGTTTCGTTGAAATGTCGTTAATTGGATCGATGCATGATGTAAAAATTTTATATTCGAAATTTTTTTTTTTTAAAAACTTATTCAATATTTTAAATAGGACAAAGTCGGAGATGAAATGAAATCATTTGCTGAACAACTTAAACCGTAAGTATTTTTTAATACATATATTTCTAAATATTTCAATTTTCTATTTTATTTTATTTTATAGATTAATTTCTCTTGAAAAAATTGATCAAAAACGATAATTTTAAATATTAAAATTTTTATTAGTTGATTATGTATAGAAGTTTAAAAAACTAACATTATATATTCTAGATGACATTTAATAGATCTACAAGATTATATTATCAGTTTCGCGGAAAAACAAGATATAAAAGAGAATGCATCGCGATAAAAACATTTCATCCTTCATGTAACTATAGTTGATAACTTGATTTTTATTACAGAAAATTTGAATATAATATAGTAAGAAAAGAAATCTTGAATATTGTTTAATATTATTTCAGATCTTCATCATGACTAATACTGATTCATTCGCTATCGGTAAGTATTCTTAAGAAATAAAGTTTATTACATGTATAAATTTGCGTTTTTTTTCTCTAGTACATTTTCCTCAAAATCCCAAGATATCAGTTGATGATATGGTTGATATTCAGTTTAATAAATCAACAACAACAATAAAAACAACTGATTTAACCTATGAAGGACAGGGTACAAAATCATCTGATCTATGTGGTATACTTGGTTTTGTTGATGATCAAGGTCATATACATCTATCATCAAATTTTGATTTATATACAATGCGTCCAAAATTAACAGATTTTAATTTAACAGTAGAACAAAATTTAAATAAAGAAGAATCTACACTTAATGTAAGACATTGTCATAGGAAAAAAATGCTCAAATAAATATTTTATTTTTAGAGAAATGATCTTGATGAAAATTTTGGTTCAGAAAGAAAACGTCGTTCAGTACATTCAAAAAAACGTAATACAATAGAAGTAAATGTTCTTGAAACAGCTGTATCTGCTGCACGTGAACAAGTACGTAATACAAATGATGAACAATTAAATGAAAGTTCACATAATAATGCAATGATTTCACTTGATGATGATGAGCAAGTTGCTTTACCAAAACCAAATTATGATGCACAAAAACCTGAAGATGTTTTTGTTCTTGATGATAGTTTGTACTTTCATTGAATTAATATCCAATTTATTCATTTTTCTTTGCTTTCAAATAGTTATTAGTGTAAATGATTTATCATTATTAAATGATCAATGTAGTCAAATCGTTGATTCAACAAAAGAAATTATATTAAAATGGTCCAAAGAAGGTACTTATACATCATTTGTATGTGATCAAATGAAAAAATTACCTGTTAATTATGCTGAACGTGTGCAATGTGCATCAAAAATTCTTTATTTACATTATCTTATTGCTTTCTTTAAACGTTCAATGTTTAAACGATTATCCGGAAGTAAGTTTCTTATTTAAAAATATAATATTTCTGAAAGTATAATTTGTTTATGTATATATAGAACCATTTCCTGATGATGCACCACGTTCATTACAAGATAAAGCTTTACATATGTATGCTGTAGCTAATATCAATGAACGTACACGAAAACAAGACAAGTAAGATTATACTGAAGGCAAATTATGTGTTATTACTATAAACGATGATTTGAATAATTCTTCTATACTGCTGATCTATTATATTTGATTCGCATATTTATTATGAGTCATCCATATCATCGATTCAGTATACTAATAGAAAAAGTATTTGAAATGGTTGACTTATTAGTTTTTCTCTCCATGATTAAAATAAAAAACTAATCATACTCATATTTTCTTTATTAAGTTCTTGATCCTGTAGAATTCTATGATAGTTTGATAATATGATGATTAAATTCTTGAATTTAGCTGATCAATTGAATCTTTTTTAGTACTGTACCACCTCGTCTTCGACTAAAATTAACCGCACATATATGTATCTTGTCTTTATATATATGTCAATTTACAGTGGATATTGATAGTCTACGTTCATCACTTGGTGGTTCAATGTCATTATTGAAGTATAGTTGAGCATTTCTTGTTTATGTACATATATATATTATGTTCGTTTAGATTACAAGATATATTTACTGAACTTGGTTGCAAAATAATAAAAGTTTCACATACAAGTGTTGCAAGATTAGAAGTACCAATAGTTAAACCTAAATTCAAAGATACATTAGCTCTTGGATCTAATCGAAAACGACAAAGAACAACTT